TACGGTCATCTTCCCCCGCCCCTGGCTCGGCCTTGGGCTCTACCATTGTTAAGCACTCTTGAGACACCGCCCAGCATGGAGGGCTCTATATAAGTCCAAGTTGTTGTTGAAGTTGCAACTCAGTAATTTGGGAGTTTCCAACCACAATGTTCTAATAAACCTTCAATCGGGAGAATATCTTAAAGCACTTCACACAATTTTTATATAAAGTGTAGTGAACGTGGCAGATGGCAGACACAGCAATGTCCCACAAATAGTCATGAAGTGAATGATCAATTGTATCTGGGGGATTAAACACAAAGTACTGCAGATTCTGGAAATCTGAAAACAAAAATAGAAGTCGGTGGGAACACTCAGCAGGTCAGGCAGCATCTATGGAGAAAGGAAAGTGAGTCAAAGTTTCAGGGCCACAACCCATCATCAGAACTGGGGCATTTTGGGAGAGAGAGGCTTTTAAGGGCTAACAGAGAGGGGGAAAGCAGGGCAAGAAAGACAAAGGAGAAAATGAGGTAGAGAACAGGGGATGATGGGTTAAAGAGGTGTTAATGATATTAATGAGTGTTCCCAGCAACTTCTGTTTTTGTTATCTGGGGGATTGTTGGGCAGGACTAAGGGAGAAAATTTCTTCTCTTTTTGAATTGTGCTTTGAAGCTTTAATATGCACCTCAACAAACGGGACCTCCCTTTAATGTCTCATCCAAAGGATGGCACCTTTGTCAATGCAGTTCTCCCGAACACTGCAATGGAGTATCAACTTAGACTGTGAGTTCAAAGTGCCAACATGGGGCCCAAACTACAATCTTCTGATTCCGGAGGCAAGAATGCTGCCAACTGAGCCAGGCTTTTTTTTAAGTCAGCTGGGTGTCTGACACATGAAGAAATCCATTACAATGCTTAAGTGTACCTAAACTGAGAGTTCCATGCATCCTACCTATAACTTCTTGTGTATTAGAAAGGAAGTGTCCCACTTACCGCATCTTGACACCTAAATTCTTGGAACTGAGATTTTAGTGAAATCTAATCAGTCGACATCTATCCCTCTAATCCCATTCTCAACCAGATTTGTGACCAAATGCAGTGAACAATTTGATATCAAATTTTAACATTCTGAAATAGTATATTAATAAGAATTCTAGAAATCCTAGGAAACCATAAAGTATATCTTCTCTCAGATTGCGTCCTAAAATATGACCGAAATACTCACTTTAAGGCTTTAATCTTTGAAAGACTTTGGTGCTAAATAAAATCTTTACTCAGTTTGTTCTGATGCTGAGCATTTTGATTGCCTGAGCACATTCTCAAGGTTTCTTTTAGGTAGGCTTTACAAGTTAAATTACAGGATAACATAGATTCCACATTCGTAAAATATGGATTTTTGTATTCTTGCTTTCAATTTTCACACATTTCCAAGAGAAAGTTAAATATGTTTTTCTTTCTATAATAACCTACAGCTCTCCACATATATATTAATTCCCCAGGTTTAACCAGGGTAGAAATCATGTTTTCATTTGTGCAAGGAATTGCAATCCTAGTTTGAATACGTTTTTGATCTGCTTATCTTTAATCCTGCATTTCATTTATTTCCTCCCTCAAGCTGTTTAGCACCTGAAACACCACTTTCAGTAAATTAAGGACAAAGGCCACATACAAATAATATCTGCAGCAATGCATTTGCTCCTATTTTAATGTTCCAGCTAAAGAAGCTTACCTCCTTAAAATACCTTTCTAGAATGCAATTGGGGAATTAAACAGTGTATATTGAGATTAAGAACTATACTATATATGCATATGATAGTGACCTTGGTCTATGACCATGATTCCCATCAATCTAATAACCAGAAGCCAGGGTCACAATGCTGACATTAATGTGGCACGCAAATTTTTGATCTCAATCACCAATATTAAAAATACTTTCAAAACCGATGACATTTAAAATTGTGGTTCTCACAGGTTAAACTCACTTTATATTTCATCTTCATAATGAAAGCATTTAATTTGACTCAGTTCCAACACGATCACTCAGAGAGTACACAGTGGTTTTCCTGTTTCAAATACAAAACAAATTTATACATGTACTGTACAGTCCTACTCACTTATCTCAAACCCGTTTATGTTGACAAAGAAGTGGAGTCCGGGCCCCTTCTTCATACACTGATACTAAAAACTTATTGTCTACAACATCAACAACGAATTACATTTGTGTAGCATTTCATGTCAGGAGAACATCCCAAAGTGCTGGACAGTCAGGTATCCGCACCCAAGCTGGTTGTTGGAATCAGGAGGGGTGGAGGACTGAGGGGTAGGGATAGAAAGATGACCGAAGACACAATAAAGGGTGTTGAAAAAATCATCTAATACTCTGCAGCTCGTGTACTTCGCGCACCATGCTCCGTGACCCCATCACTTCCATTCTCGCCCAACTCCACTGGCTCCCCATCCCCCAGAGAATCGAATTCAAGATCCTCGTCCGCATTTTCAAAGCCATCCATGGCCTTGCCCCCTCCTACCTCTCTGACCTGCTGACTCCCTACGAGCCTGCCTGCTCCCTCCGTTCAGCGGGCTCCAGTCTGCTCCATGTCTCCCACCCGACCTGCCCTATCATTGGTGGCTGAGCTTTCAGCCTCTCTGCCCCCACACTTTGGAACAGATCGTGCCTTCGGTCACCCTCCCACCTCTCTGCCTTCCCTCACCCCTATCCCACCCCTGCCCCATGCTCGGGTGCTGACCCCTGACTGTCCAGCGCCTTGGGACGTCCTCCCGACGTGAAAGGCACTCTATAAATGTAATTTTGTTGTTGTTGTTGAAGAAGGCAAGGGAAGTGGGGGAGGTGAAGAGACTGCGGTATGGAATTCTTGAGGGTGAAGGCAGAGAGGCTGAAGGTCTACCCACCAATTGCGGGCGAGGTGGGAGACATGAAGCAGGCCAGGGCGCGATGAGCTAGGTTGACATCGACAAAATCCAGCACACTTATTTTGATAAATTGTTCAGGTCTCTAACAATATTAAAGGCATTGTTTTATTACCACTTATGTCGACAGTGTACTCTTACATTATTTTTTTTACTTACATGTCTGTTTGTAAATATGTTAAACTTTTTGGACAAAGGGTAACAAAAAACATGTAAATAAATAGGTCAGGAACTTTAAATAAATATGTGACTTTTTTTAAAATAAATCGATGGAATATCATTGTCCGCTTGTGACCATTTCGCCCACAAAATATAGTCAATTCACTTTACAGTATATTTTGTGAAGCGCTTTGAGATGTCTAAAGGACGTGATAAGGCGCTATATCAAATGCAAAGGTTATTATTATATCGACAAACCGCTTATGTCGATAAAACTTGAATGTCAACTCCCTAACATGTCAACATAAATGGGTAGGACTGTATATGTATAAGTTTATTTTATATGTAGAGTCTGCCATCTCGGAACTGGAGCAGCCAAATAAACAATAATAATCCTTGCATTTGGTGTAGTGCCTTATCACGTCTGAGACTTCTCAAAGGGCTTCACAGATTATATTGTAAAGTGAATTGACTATATAGTTTGTGGGCGAAACGCAGCAGCCAATTGCTCACAACAGTGACCCACAAACAGTCTTGGATTGAATGACCAAATTATTATTTGTTCATTTTTTTGAAGGGATTGAACTTTGTGAAGGCAAGAATTAAAGAGAGTTCAATTGACTAACAACCGGGTTCCTACTTACCTAATATTTTGTCCAGCCCGGGAATCAAACCCAGGTCCCCTCGCATGCAAGGTGAGTGCTCTAACTAATACGCTATTGGACTCCATGTAGCATATTGGTTAGAGCACTCGCTTTCAAATAACCCAGTTATTCAGACTTCATCAGCTTTGACTCTGTTGGAACATCCAAGAAAAAGAGAATCCACAGCATGGCTTGCGCGCTTTATATCGAGATACCCAACAGGGAGTGGGATGAATAAAAATGTGATTCACAGTAGAAGTGATGAGTTTTCAGGAAAAATTTAAAAGTACCAAGGGTGGAGTGTTTTTTGAAAAAGGTGCATTGCACAGGGATATGGTGGCTGAAGTCTCTATCTTTGTTTGTTGTTATTGTGATGGTAGAGCAGAGGAAGACAGACAGAAAATTGGAGTCAGGGAGTGGAGAGGGATTACAACAACAAGATTACATTTGTATAGCGCCTTTCACGTCAGGAGGATGTCCCAAGGCATTGGACAGAGTACAGCATTTCAGACCCGAGCTGGGGTCAAGGGGGGAGAAGGGCGGTAGCCAAAGGCATGGTCAAAGAGGAGGGTCTTGAGGCGGGACTTGAAGGAGGCTAAGGAGGGGGCAAGGCAGAGTGACTGGGGGATGGAATTCCAGAGGTTGGGGGCAGAGGGTTGGAAGGCTCTCCCGCCAATGGTGGGTCGGGGGACATGGAGCAGGCCAGAGCCGGCTGAGCGGAGGGAACGGATGGGTTGGTAGGGGGTTAGGAGGTCACAGAGGTAGGGTGGGGCGAGGCCATGGAGGGCTTTGTATGTGAGGACCAGGATCTTGAACTGGATCTTCCAAAGGATAGGGAGCTAATGGAGTCAGGCGAGCGTGGGGGAGATGGGGATTACTGAAGAAGACTGGCCATATAGGGTGGGACAATACTATGAAGTATTAAATCTTGGTATTGATGTACTGAGGATCTTTTTGTTTTGAAGGGATTATTACCCCGGGAAAAGCAATGCGCCAATCGTCTAAAAACCGGGTTCCTACTTACTGCTAGGTGAACAGAGCATGGTGTGGGCTAAGGAAACTTGCCCCAGGTTCTCTCACTTGCAAGGCAAGTGCCTTAACCAATACACTACAGGACTCCATGTTAGGTCAGAGATACTATTTCAGAATATATAAACAGTATAAAGCATGCACTAGGGTAGACGAAACACACAGGTTACACTATTTGGAGATATATTATATATATTAAGAATTTTATTACTTTATATACAGATTTTTTAAAAAAAACAACTGTTGTCCTTTCATGCAGTATCATTCTGCATACAGTTACGAAAACTATATCCAATCTGTACAATTCTTATTTTTTCTTTTCATTTCCCTCAAAAAGCGAGCATATCAATCATTACCATAAAGTCTTTCACGCCTACAATCATTATCATATTTTTGCATTTTACTAACTTTATTATTGCATGGTTATTCACTTTTGAAACAGAAAAAACATAAACATTCATTGTTGCATAAAGTTCTCATTAGTAACTGAATTGACATGCTTCCTTCACTTTAATAATCTATAGTCCTTTAATTAGCTCTTTTGTGTCCAGATGTTTAACCCTGAGAATTTTAAGGTGCAGTAAATAAATAGTATGCAAACTCCATTGGAAAGCAGGGTAACTAGCAAATACATAAGAAACAGCAGATCTGTCTACTTTGCTGTACCGTTCTCAACCGTTGTAGCTGTATAAACTGTTTCAAGGTTTTGGATGCTAGAGGCATCGGTGGTGTACTCACTGGCACTGGAACTAGCAACTGGAGAGATACTGGCTATGAAAGAATGCATCCTTTGGGCATACATGTCCCGAATATTAACATAGGGTAAATCAGAACAATCATCTTTAAGTTCTACATTACAATTGTCAAGATCAGCCATTTTATGTCTTCTATAGTATTTGGAAAATTTATTGAAAATGATAGTTATTGGTAAAGCCACTACTAAAATCCCACATATGAATACAGATGCTGCCTACCAGTTTGCCCAGTAGAGTTACAGGGTATGTGTCCCCATAACCAACTGTGGTCATGCTGATGGTTGCCCACCACCAGCACATAGGAATGCTATGGAGACCCGATTCCTCTTCATCTTTTTCAACAGAATAGGCAAGGACGGAAAATATTGAAATTCCAACTGAAAGGAACAAGAGCAAAAGTCCAACTTCGTGGTAACTGTGCCTGAGCGTGGCTCCCAGGGAGCGCAGCCCCACTGAATGCCTGGCAAGTTTGAGGATACGGAATATCCTCATCAGACGCAGGATCTGGATCACTTTACCCATGTTCTCCAGATCCTCGTTGCCCTCGTCCATTGTCTCTACTGCCAGAGTGATGTAGAAGGGTAGAATCGAGACAAAATCAATAATATTTAATGCATTTTTGAAGAATTTGTCAAGGGATGGTGCAACTAGGAGCCTCACAATAAACTCTGTGGTGAACCAGGTAATGCACAAAATCTCCAGACCTGCCAGCACAGGGTCTACTATCTCCTTATCATTTTCATCGAACCGTTGGAACTCATGCATGCTGTGAACACACATGGCTGCAATGGATGTGAGTACAACAGATAGGGAAGCAACTGCTATAATTTTTGCTGAGAGAGAGTGACCGGGATTTTCTAACCTGACCCACATGGCCCTTCTTATGTTTCCACACCGAGTGTCGTCAAATGTATCCAAATTTTTGACCATGGAAGTCAATTCCTCAAAAGAAGAATCAATGCTTGCCTCTTCACTCCTTTGTTCCCAGTCTTTGTCCACCACATCCTCTTTCCTCTCTTGATACCTGTTGTTGCAACAGGAGTCAATGAATAGTTCATTAATCCCCCAGTATTCAATCTCTTGGCTGAAGGAAAATGCGCACAGCTCTTCCATGACGTGAAGTTTTCCTGTATAATAAAAGTTCAAAACGTATCGGAATAAACAGGGATTCCGATCGAAGTAATATTCTTTGTCCACCACACTGTAGTCATCACAAAGCTCTAAAATAGCCTCTTCCGTGTCGCAGTTCAATAATTTTCCAAGTCTGGTTTGAGGAAACTTTAGGAGGGTACTTTGGTCTACTCTTTGCTTGAATCCTCCCACGTTTATGTTAATAAGATCTTGATCTGCTACAGTCCTTCCAAAGATCTGTCCGTAAACCATGTCGGCGAATCCTTACCACGTTGCCACTTCCATTTAAAATTCCATCTGGGCTCGATTCACTCCTAGAACACATCAGCAATTGTTACTTCACATTGTCCATAGTTAAGAAGTAAAACACACTTTAATACCAATCTGCCTATTTAGAACCAGTCATATAAGTAAACTAGCTGTACCTGTTGTAGCTTTGCTTGCAACCAAAGGATCCAATATGGAATGCAGATTGACATACAAACAGACATTTCATCTTTATCTATAGTCATCTGGGAGGACTCCTTTTGGGAGTTCTCAGGAGGAGGAATTGGCTCTTTAAAAATTTTATTTTGTTGTTGTTGCCGTGGTTTTGCCACAGTTTTGTCTGTGTTCTTTATTTTGGTGGAGTATGCACCATCAAAGGAACCAGTCCGGAACCTTGGCATCTTGTTTGATCCTCAACTATCCTTTCTACCCCACATCCATGCCATGTCTCTCTCTACCATCCCCCATTTCTGCAACATCGCCCGGCTCCACCACTGTCTCACACTGCAGGCCGCCAAGACCCTCATACACGCATTCATAATATCCAGGCTCAACTACGCAAACTCCCTGCTTGTTGGCCTTCCCAACTCCTCCCATCATAGGCTGCAGATCATCCAGAAGTGCAGCCCATGTCCTCTCCCTCCCCAGGCTTCGCAACTCCATCACTCCCATCCGTTGGCTTCCCATCACAGAGGATACGGTTCAAGATCCTGGTCCTCACCTTCAAAGCCTTCCATGGCCCCCCCTATCTCTGCAACCTCCTAAACCCCTACCAACTTTCCCGCTCAGTGGGCTCCAGCCTGCTTCACGTCCTCCGCCTCGCCCTCCCCACCATTGGCAGGCGGGCCTTCTGCCACTCTGCCCCCACCCTCTGGAACTCCATCCCACAGTCACTCAGCCTCACTGCCTCCCTTGCCTTGTTTAAGACCCATCTCAAGACCCTCCTCATCAACCCTAACTTTGGTCACCCTCCTTCCCCTGCTGCTGGATCTTGACCCCCAGCTCAGGTCCGAAACACTGATTATCCAGCGCCTTGGGATGTTCTCCCAACGTGAAAGGTGCTATACAAATGTAATTTGGTTTTTGTTATTTTGTTATTTTGTACCTGCCGCTTGGCTACATACATGCACTGTGATGCACAATGCCACAGCGCCACGGTCAGCCGCCCAGCCACCAGGAGTAACTGTTGTGTGCGAGTACTTACGTTGGTGCTCTGTGACACGCAATGCCACAGCGCCGCTTTGACTCGGTGACCACCAAAAAATACAAAACTGAAAATAACGATAGGAGCTACCCCAAAACAAATATGGCCATGTCACCCCCAGATGCAAGGCCTCTCCGATGAGGTATAAATCATGTGTTTATGTCAATCGGTTATTGAGATCCTTCTTGAAGCACAGACAGACATATATTAGTAGAGAGAGAAGATAGATAAAAGGTAGATTATATTTCATCAAATGCTGAAACAAAGGAATGGATTTTAAGTGCAAAAATAAATTTAAAAAGCACAACATTGCAATGCATAAAATGCAAATAAATGTAAAACAAAATATAATGTAACCTGCGGTCTGATTTTCTGTGACGTAGTAATCTAATGCATTTGCCAGATGTTAAACAGCCAGACTCTGATCAAAGTGAACACATTACACTCCTACCTCTGATTGCTGGAGTTGGCTGGTGTCTTCATGTTACTCACGCTAATAATATAAGTTGTTTGAGACCCTTGGTTTATACTGTCAAATAACTGTTGTGAATATTTAAATACATCTGTACATTGCAGACAGCATTGTTTGAGCTGGGACCATCTCAATGCATGTATATTATCTGTCTTTCTAAAATAAAGTGGAGATAGACGATTTAAATCTAAATAGCAGTTTCCATATAATTTCACCCAGATCTTCTTCATGCACTCTGAATTAGTTACTACCTCTCTGCGCTGCAGAATGTTTTTTGTTGCTCATGTTAGACATTTATTTAGCAGGTTGCTGGGAGCAGGGATTCTTCCCACTCAGCTCCTTTTAACTCTGCAAGCTAAAGCCGTAACAGATACGATGGTCCTATCCTTTCAGCGCTTTGGGACCTCCTTCAGACGTGAAAGGCACTATGCAAATCTAATTTTTCACCAACAAAATATACAGTCAATTCACTTTACAATATATTCTGTGAAGCCCTTTGAAACGTCTCGAAGACTTGATAAGGCACTATATCAAATGCAAGGATTATTATTAATGTGTTGTTCCTAGCTGGACAAGAAGTGGTAGCTTACAAAACAATGCTTTCAGTGGCAAGTTATATTGTTTTAGTGGGTTAAACTCCCACAGTACCCTACGCACACTCGGGAGTCCTCAAGCTTTGGCTCTTGCCAATCTGCACCAGAAACTCCCCAGAATTAGGTAAGCAGGATGACTCACTTCAGTGAGAGAGTGTGCATCCCATTCCAGACACAGGGGAATTTCCAGGTGTAGATGGCATGCATAGGTGGAATGCTCCGTCTGGTTTGGATAATGTTAACTACAGTGATAGGTTTCCACATGTGTCAGACACCTGGTTGACCAAAAAAANTCTATTTAGAGGCAACTTTATGTAAGGATCCCCAAAGCGCTACCTCCATTTCAACATTGTTCACATATAACAATGTTTCATTCTATAAACTAGTTGCAAAACTACAAATATTTCCATACATTTTGTCAGTTTCATTAATATGACTTCACACTTTCCACTTCCTGTTCTATGCTTTGCTTCTGTACATCTATTTCTTAACTTGGGTTAGTTTTTCTCATCATTGTATTAAATAGCACATCAATAAAGGGTTACTTTCTGTTCAGTCATCTGATCCACAAAAAAGCTATTTTTCCCCAAGTGTCTTATGTGTAACAAACCATTTTAACTAATCCATCAACTGAGACAGATGCTACATTATTTGCATCATAATATAACTGTATATAACATTTAAATATTGATGAAAAGAACACTGAACAAATGAAAAACTTATGTTAGACCAGTGTTACACACAGTAGGATATTGTTTTCAGAATTGAAAATCTGGTTAAAAGGCAAAGTTCTTCTCTCGAACAATCAAATATTTGCTAGTTTTCCATAATAATTGGGTATTTTATTTAAATACTTTCTTAAACTTCAGGAAAAAATTATAATCCATACAATCCCCCAAAATTCCTTAAAGGCTTGAATTCCTGAAAAAAAGCATCGACATAATTATATAGTTGTTTCCTTTACAATGGTCATTCAGATTTTGCAGTTTATGTTTTGAGTCAGCAACAACTGGAACTATTTGTGATTCATTAGAAGCATACGATTAGCTGCACACTTTGTCAAATCCCCTTAAGCCAATTACACAATGTTTATTTGTTATTAGAAGTTCAACAGCAAAATCCTACCCAACAAAATATCTTGAATTCTATCTAAACTGTAGTTACACTCATTATATGTGAGGCACAAATTTACAAATTAATCCATCAATCAGAGTAGGAAAGATGTCCCATTCTTCCACAGATTTGAAGCTGCAGCTTCAAAATGAACCTAAAACACATGAGGCATTTAATAATAATACTTGCATTCGATATAGCGCCTTAGCACGTCACTAAGACGTCTCAAAGCGCTTAATAGAATATATCGTAAAGTAAATTGACTGTATTTTGTCAGCGAAACATGGCAGCCAATTGCTAGTATCCCACAAACAGTCGTGGATTGAGTGACCATTTTCTTAAAAATAATTTTAAGTAATTTGTTTAGGTGATCAGTTGATCTCAAATTGCCACTTCACATCCAAGATCTCCAAATGCCTCTAAAACTATGTAGCACATAAAATACTGTATATTACATATGACACTGCCCATATTACATTAATATAGTTAGGTCACAAACTACATTCTTAATATGCTCATGAATTATACCAACAGATGGGTTAGCTTATTTATATAAAGCACCAGTGTCTACCATGATTCCTCTGTGTAATTTGAGGAAGCAAAGTTCCTCATATTAAAAAAATTCACATAAGTTCCCTGTCAGTGAATAAGTGTGAAGCCCTGCAATGCTAGCACAAGTTAATTGTTTTACTGAACAATTTAACATAGAAAACAAACCACAACAGAAAAACAGCCATCAGCTGGCACCTAACCAAAGCGTATAAACAGCCCCAAACATAATGAAAGTCTCTACACCCTCCAAACCCTCTGTAACATTCCTTGGGAGAAAAACACTTTGATTTGAGATCACAGGCGCCCAATGAAACAAGTAGGCGGAAAGCAAACAGATTGCTCCCCTATTTGACAATGTACACACCAGCCTGGTCATGCTTCAGAATAGTTATAAACCAGGATGTTTCTACCACAGGTGAAAATCCTGAATGAGCACTTGGAACAAAGAGAGAAACACCAGTTCAGCACTGACAGGAAAACTGTCACTAAAGTCGTGAATATTGGTCGTTTCTCCCTACACGTTCTCATATAGACATACAACCTCAATTGATATCTCTTTTGAAAACATCTGAAGGCGGAATCTAGAGGCGAGGAGTCCCTGGCATTACGATGGACTGTGTTTTTTTGTATATCCACAAAACACTTTTAGGAAAGTATTATTCGGGGACTTTTAACCAAGTGAACCTGAATCATGCTACCATAGGTAGGAAGGAGAGAAGGAGGAATGCATAGATATAGTTGGCCTATTATTTTATTCAGAGGAAATAAATGTTATAGACTATTGCAAAACACAGCCATGAAAAATAAATCATATTTTATGTTTAGTCTTTGTTTTTGACCCAACAACCATCTGGAATTATTCTCCTCTTTAACAGTACAAGATATCTCACTCTAGGGGCATATCTAATATCAGGGGTCAGTACTTATTTTTGTGTTTAACTTCCTGATCCTTTCCTATTCCCACAACAGAACTATCTAAGCCGCCCGCCCAATAACGTGAATTAGCCAAGAAGATCCTATCTCTCTCGAGAAGCTGCAATGCAAAATCACCTCTGGGAGCAGAGCTCTGCAGTTCAATACATGCACTGGTGTGGCACCCTATGCTCATTTCTTTTCACCTATTAATATTACATTTCAAAGAGAAATTAAAGGCGGTCTCCTGGGCGTGAGTTCGCTTTTGGTAATGCTATATAGGGGGAATGCAAGGTTATACTTTATTTATTGTCACACTTCAGTTGAGTACATGGGTTCCTGAATTCAGAGAATGGCATCATTAATGATGGGCTGATTTGTTGTACGTTCAAACTTTAGTCTGAATTCAAAATCTGGCTCAGTTCAACTCACAGATTGATTGAAAAGACCATGTCGAATGAACACAGCGGCTCTCCTGTCGCTTATAAGAATACTTATCGTGGTAAATGCACTCATAGAAATGATGGAATCGTTCACATCAATTAGCTCAGTCGTCAAAGGCTCTCACAAATATACAGTCAATTCACGTCGAGATGTCGAGAAGATGTGGAAAGCGCTATATCAAATGCAAAGACTATTTATTACTACGAAACCGAAACATTCAATGCAGACTGCAGAATTAAAATAAAAACAGGGAAGAAAGACTTTTAAAAGGGAAAAAAAATGGACAGAAATTACGAACAGAGGTGGGGATGGGGGTGGGGAGGGGGGGGGGGGGGGAGGGGGGGTGGAGAGTGAGTGATGTATACTGAGTGGGGGACAGGGATGGAAATCATTGTGAATGCAATGTGCAATCTGTGCAGTTGATTTAAGTTGTGATCTTCACCAGAAAGACAGCATCAGTGTGAATGCACTCAAAGGCAACACGAAGTGCTTACGGGACGGAGAGCAACACAAAACATCCGAAATAAAGTGTGGAAACACTTAAGTTGGTTTTCAAAGAAAAAAAAACGGATCATTTGGAATAGAGGGGACGTGAATCAACGTGAATGGTGTTTCGTATACGAAGGTCCACACAGTAAATTCCTGACATACTGTTCAAAACCCCCACAGACAATTGCAGCTCAAACTCCATTCAAATGGACAACGAAGTCGAGCAGCTCGAAAAAACAAGAGAAAAACACAACTTTTTAAACCCCCCCTCACCCACCATCACCATCACCATCACCACCACCATCACCATCACCACCATCACCACCACCATCACCACCAAAAAATAATAAACCCTACATACCTTTTGCTGCGAGGGCGCAGTTTCACAGTGAAGCCGCAAATAAAACGAGCAAAGATCTCTGAAGTCCATATGGCTGTGGTCCGGTCGCCTGGAAGTCAAAGCGTTGTAAGTGCTTCGAGGCTGTGATCGCTCACTCACTCACTCACTCACTCTCACTCGCTCACTCGGTGGAGAGGCGCCTCAGGCTCTCGGCTCTCCGCCCGAGTCTCGATGCTTCAGCACTGGGTTGAAACCAGGAGACGGAATTTTAACTGAGCATCTCATACTGTGGACCAGGAGAGACCTCCCTACTCTGTGTGATTGGCCAAGTTCTCCTCTCCCCCCCCTCCTCCTCCTCTCCCCCCCCTCCTCCTCCTCTCCCTCCTCTCTCCTCCCCCCCCCCCCCCCCCCCCCTCCTCCTCCTCTCCCTCCTCCTCCTCTCCCCCCCCCTCCTCCTCCTCCTCCTCCCCTCCTCTCTCCTTCCCCCCCTCCTCCTCTCTCTACCCCCCTCCTCTCTCCTCTCCCCCCCCCTCCTCCTCTCCCTCCTCTCTCCTCTCCCCCCCTCCTCCTCCTCTCCCCCCCCCTCTCCCCCTCCTCTCCCCTCCTCCTCCTCTCCCCCCTCCTCTCTCCCCTCCTCCTCTCTACCCCCTCCTCCTCTCTCCCCCTCCTCCTCTCTACCCCCTCCTCCTCTCTACCCCCTCCTCCTCTCTACCCCCTCCTCCTCTCTAGCCCCTCCTCCTCTCTAGCCCCTCCTCCTCTCTACCCCCTCCTCCTCTCTACCCCTCCTCCTCTCTACCCCCTCCCCCTCTCTACCCCCTCCTCCTCTCCCCCTCCTCCTCTCTACCCCCTCCTCCTCTCTACCCCCTCCTCCTCTCTCCCCCTCCTCCACCTCCCCCCTCCTCCTCTCCCCCCTCCTCCTCTCTACCCCCTCCTCCTCTCTCCCCACTCCTCTCTCCCCCCTCCTCCACCTCCCCCTCCTCCTCCCCCCCTCCTCCTCTCTACCCTCCTCCTCTCTCCCCACTCCTCTCTCCCCCCTCCTCCACCTCCTGCTCCTGAATGGGAAAACGATCTGAAACGAAACGTCTGCCATTCCCTCCCTGAGCTCCAACATCGTGCAGATCACCCAAGTCGCTCACTCTTCTCTATTTTTTTCCCTCTTTGCCACTGGAAACTGGCAGCAAAGACTCGTGAAAGATCGACCAGAATGAATGATGCCACTTAAAATGTTTCAATGCACATCTCTGGTGAACCGATTGGGTCCCTTGGTTGAAGTGGAAGAGTATCACCAACAGACTTGTGTATGAGAGCAAGTAACAGAAATCCACAATCTCTCATGTACTGCTCAGATATCTGAGTGTAAATAGCTAAAATCCTTTGTATTTTTTTTCAGTGATCTTGAATTGAGTAAAATACTCCGATCCTTTAGGTTGCGTATAACGGTATCATTGTTTAGTGTATTGGCAGGAAAATATCCAATTTAATAATAATAATAATAATCCTTGCATTTGATATAGCGCTTTTCACGTCGGGAGGACGTCCCAAAGCGCTTCACAGAACACACTGTAAAGCAAATTAACTATATTTGTGGACGAACGCGGCAGCCAATTGCGCACAGCAATGTCCCACAAACAGTCGTAGATTGAAAATGACCTATTTATTATTGGTTTGGGTTTTGGAGGGATTATTATTTGACATTATTATGGCTAAATGATGTCCTATTGCATAATTCCAATACTAAAGTTTAAAAGCTTGGACTTGTTGTGAGTGGTACACCCTTAGATTAACACCGGTGTCACTTTAAACCGAAACAAAAATATGCATTTGTGCACAGAATGGTAACTCAGTGGGCAAACTATAATTGTTTCACATAGACAGTTCTGTACAGGAATATAAACAGGAAAAAGGAGGGGGGGGAGGCCCAACCCCCCTCTTGTGACAATCTCCCTACTCCACCACCCACAGAATACTTACCCATACATCCTTCCTGTTGCTGGCTGGATGGGGGAAGGAAAAAAAAGAAAGTGGCCAATCTGGGGGAAAACAGAATACTTTGAATGTTTCTCCCTGACTCTCGACTTTTGCTCAAAATAATACGCTACAAGAGGTGGAGTCCTGTAGCACATTGGTTAGAGCATTCGCCTCGCAAGCGATAGGACTTTCAAAAAAAATAATAATTTGATCACTCAATCCACACTGTTTGGATGACACTGTTGTGCGTCAATTCACTTTACAGTATATTCTGTGAAGTGCTTTGACATGTCTCTAAGACGTGATAAGGCGCGATAACAAATGCAAGGATTATTATATATATTACTCTGAAAGAATATCAAGTGAACTCCAGGAGAGGATTGGGCCACCACAAATGTGAGAGATACTATAGGAAAAGCACAGAGTTGACCAGTAACAGAAAGAATGGCCTCAAAATTATACATAAAACACAAGAGTGACAGACTGAAAACGACATGTTTGTATCCTAGGGAGAAAACATTAATGGTTCACTGATGATTAATTTAATACCAAACAAATTCATTGCAAGCAATGAAAGAATAGCATTTATTTTATATGAATTGTGGGATAAAAACTATGAAAACAGTCTACAGGTAATATGTCTTCCATGTAGTGGAGTACACAATATTAACTGTTATGATCCCAACTCTGCCTAGCAGAATATACTGTATGCACATAAACATAACATTTTCAATAAAAACATGTTGAACTCATTTGAAGTTTTAAAAATAATATGCAGTTAGAATTGTTACTCAAAGTACATGCATTCTTGTGATACTGCATTAATACTGAGTCAGTCATAGTGTGAAACCAATCTGACAAAATTGAACATACAATGGTGAGACCTAACAAGGGAAAACAAAATAATCCTGGCATTTGATATAATGCCTTTCACATCGGGAGACTGTCTTAAAGTGCACAGCAAAGTGCCACAATCAGTCAAAGTGAATAATAATTGTATCTGCCTAAGTCCTAAGACACGACAATATGTAAGTTAATTCTAAATGGCCTGGAAATCTGGTAATCAGGGGAACATATGCAATATATCTAATTAAATTTCAAGTCCAAAGCCATTACTTAATATTATCATAATTGTAGTGAATCACGTTGATTTTAAATCTCAAGCTGTTTGTATTTTAGAAGCTTAGGGCTGCTGTGAAAACAAGTCTTTATGAAGAATACAATTTCTATCTATATTATCATACATAAAAGCAGTTTTTGCACAACATCTCCATCAAAACAACAACAAATTACATTTGTATAGGACCTTTCACATCAGGAGGACATCCCAAGGAGCTGGACACTTAGGGACATGGAGCAGGCTGGGGCCTGCTGAGCAGAGGGAGTGGACAGGTCTACATGGAGTTAGCAGATCACAGAGGTAGGGAGGAGCAAGGCCGTGGAGGGCTTTGAAGGCAAGGATGAAGATTTTTTGAACTCTATCCTTTGGGGGAGGGAGCTAGTGGAACCCGGCAAGGCTGGGGGTAAACCCATGGCCCGTTCGAAGAGGAGAGTATTGAGATAGGCCTTGAAGGAGGGAAGAGAGGGAGCGAGGTAAAGGGACTGTGGGATGGAATTCCAAACGGTGGGGGCAGAGTGGCTGAAGGTCCGACCACCGATAGCCTGCAGATTGAAGGGAGAGGATAGGTCGATATGGACTTAGCAGGTCACAGAAGAAGGGAGGAGCAGAGAGGCTGAAGGCCTGCTATGAATTGATATTAAAAAAATCATTCAAATGCTAAGCTGAGATCCTAGTTCTGAACAGTGTGTAATATACGGGACAAAGAATCGCATGGCACTGTAACAAAACTTTTGAGACAATAGTACTGGTGATATGGTGTGAGCAAGTCTTTGGTAGCCACGTTATACCTATTTCCTACAATTATATTTTACAGCCATTCATGTATAATGTATAGGCAGAGAGAATAATGTATCCCCAAGAGTATTTATAAAACAATAGCCTCAGACAAGGGCTCAGAAGATCTCAGAATCTAGGAAATGGCATAAAAAATCTTTCAAATGCTACAATGAGATCCTGGTCTTGAAATCCAATATATTTGTTATTTTTATAGCATATAATGATTTATTGGGTGTTTCCAGTATTGCAGCTATTTTCCACAGCCTTGCTCCTCTCTACCTCTGTGACTCGCTAACCTCATGTCCGCTCCCTCTGCTCGGCAGACTCTGGCCTCCTCCTCGTCCCCCACCCTGGCAGCCCACCATCAGCGGTCGGGCCTTCAGCCTCTCTGCTCCCACCATTTAGGCACCATCCCACAGTCACTTCGCCTCACCCCATCCGTTGCCTCCTTTAAGGCCCGCCACAAGACTTTCCTCTTCGACCATGCCTTCAGTCACCCTCCTACCGCTACCCTTCCTGCCCTCCACCCCTTCTGATTCCAACTCCCAGCTCAGGTACAAATCCTCGACTGTCCAGCACCTTGGGACAACCTCTTGACATAAAAGGAGCTATCTGAATGTAATTTTGTTTGCTTGTTTGTTTGTTTTGATTTGTTTGCCTGTTTATTTGTTATTCCGCAAGTGCTCTGGGACGCTACCCTGCGTGAGGGGGCTATATAAATTCTGTATAAATGTTGTTGTTATTGATTATCTAACAATGTTATATTGGATATCTTAACTAGTGTCCAATATAACATTGGTGTTGGTAATATCCATTGCTGTGGCATTAACGGCTGTGATATATTTGTTGCACATTCGTTGAATGAACAAATGAACAGTTGAACAAAGAAAAAAGAAACAAAGAGCTTGCCAAAATATCTCCAAGTGCTTCACAGTAATTTTTTACAAGGCAATTGCAATCTGTTATTTATTGCACCACCTTGTTTCGAATAGTGTCATGGGATCTTTAATAGCCACCTGAGCAGGCAGGCAGAATCTTGCTTTAATATTCTCGTCTGAAGAATGCCACCTCCAATAATGAAGCACTCCAAGACCTGCCCTGGAGTTTCAGCCTATATTCTGAGCTCGAATCCAGATGTGGATCTTAAATCTGCAATCGTCTGTCCCAAAGTGTGATTCACCTTAAAGATCACATGTATGATAACCAGGCTTACTGACTCACGGAATTAAATGAAAGAGTATCTCCCTTATAGAAGTAAGGATTTCTGTATTGATTGGGACTATTATTCAAGCTGAATTTTTTCTCGCATGTGATTCAATGAAGGAAGCCCGCTCTGTCCTCAGCAGCTTTTAAAAACAGTGAGGGTATAAGTGATCAGGGCACATATTATATGTTTGTCATGCCTTTTCTAGTTAAGTGTGTGCTGCTTTCCACCACAACAGGAAAATATCTGATAATGGATTGTGTTACACTGACTCCTTTCACTCCCCATGACAATTCCATTCAAAGCCGTGCAACTTGGTAGGACACATCCTGCAGCACTGAAAATATGTATTGTCTAACAGAGTACAGATATGTTATACCGTGTGTTATATCTATTACACAATACTTGTATGTAACATTTAATTACACTAGGTATAAAATATGTATTTTCAGAGCAAGCAAATAGTTATTTGTAAGCAAAAGTCCACATTGGAATGGAAATAAGCAGTCATGTATTCCTATTTGATACATAGGCAAAGAGACTTTTTAAATATTAGACAGTATTAATACGGTTAGGTCATTTGGCAACTCTAACGGAGATAGATGTCCCAAGAATTTAGCCTTGGTGATTGCAAGCATCCAATTGTGAAGTTGTGCTACAGATCTCAACAACCTAATGTATGTTTCAATAAACCTGTATCAGCAAGCAAAGACTAATTCTGTATTTGAATTTGCATTCAAGGGAGTTAGTTCCATCATCGCAGCAGAGAACATCAAAGTCACAAGTGTTATGGCTCCCTCTTCAGGTTTTGAAAGAAACCAGAAAAACAAATCCGGTAAATTCTGTAGGCTTATATCATTATGAACTCTGCAAAGCTAAACCCAAACTTTGTTTGTAATTCGAAAAGAACTTCAATTAATCAAATTGAAACCTAATCATTTTGATTGGGACCATTGTTTGACAACTAAATTTAAAATGTCAATAACACAAATTTAAATAATAAACACAAAAAATTAAAGGGACGAAATGAACAGGAAAATATTCCAGTTCATAAATGTTCTAAAATAACTTTTATTTAACAAATTCAATAGCAATGAAATGTTATTTAGGACGATAAAGCCCTAAACAGTACTTATATTCATCAGTCTGTTTGGATTCAGTCCCACCAAAATAACGATAGTAGTTTCTCAGAATCGAACAGTAGAATTTTCATACTTGTGCAGATCTCTGCTAGTTGTCAGCTGAATAGCAGTTCATTTCCAATGTTCACAAGATCACCAAATTGGTTCAAATGAAGAGGCCCTTCGGCCCAACTGATATCATCCACCCACAACACCCACCCAGCCGTCCTTCCATCACAGCATCAAACGTTTTTTTAAATTAATCCAATGTTCTCACCTCAGCTATGTTTCTTGGCAACCTGTTCCAATCCTGAATAATAATAATCCTTGCATTTGATACAGCGTCTTATAAGACCTTATCTTTGAGAAGTCTCAAAGCACTTCACAAAATATACTGTAAAGTGTAGTGACTGTATACTTTGTGGGCGATTCGCAGCAGCCAATTATGCACAGGAGTGTCCCACAAACAATCATGCATGGAGTGACCGAATTATTATTACTTTTTTTTGAAGGGATTACTAACTCGGAAAGCAATCCGCCAATTGACTAACAACCGGGTTCCTACTTACTGTTAGGTAAACAGAGGTATGTGGAGTAAGGAAATAATTTCTTCAAAAAAAATAATTTGGTCACTCAATCTACGACTGTTTGTAGATTGCTGTGCATAATTCCCTGCCACGTTTCGCCCACTGTCCAAAATATATAGTCAATTCACTTTATAGTATATTCTATGAAGCTCTTTGAGACATCTAGAAGCATGATAAGGGCATTATATCAAATGCAATGATTATTATTATAACTTGCCTAAGTTTTCGCCCTGCCCGGAATTGAATCCGGTCCCTCTTTTTAAAATCAATGGAACTGTTTCTTTCTTAATATTAATTTTGCAGTCGCAGTTACAAAGTGTGGTGAGATAAACTCTTTTATGGTGAGATGGTCATACAGTTAAGCTCTCCTAGATGCAACCCTGCGTGAAGGGCACTATATAAATGTCAGTCACTACATAAATGTGCACTACTTCTCTAAAACATAACCATATTGCTATACTGCAGAGATTGTGCCCGTATGCAGTGATATGATCCATCATTGTTAATTTTCAAGACATTAGGGCATGGAAAAAAACATATTTGTGTGTTGTAGCTCTTAAAGAGCTGTTTAGTTTACAACCCAATCAGTTAATCAGCGAGTTATTTTTAGCACATAATGTCATTTGGCAGCACACTATGATACATTCAAATTTACAATATAAATTTATATTTATGTTGCACATTTCATGTCAAGGTGGCTCAAGTGTCACATGAAAAAGTAGTTGTGAATATATGACTACAACAACTTGCAAACATATGACAACAACTTGTATTTATATAGGATAACATCTCAAAGCACTTTACAGTGACAGGGTCAGATGCTGAGCAAGGGAGAGGGGAAAGGGGATGTGATCATTGGTACAATCATCAACAAATAGATGTTACAATGAGATTAATAGTAGGTGGGTAGAGGGGGGCCAGAGGGGTAGGTAGAGGGGATTTCAGACGTAAAGAAGGTAGGAACATAACCACTGATGATGGCTGATGGCTTTTTAAACACCCAAATGAATCTGAACCTTCTGGGGGAGTGTTTTCTACATTCTTGCAGCCCTTTGTTTGAGCAAATATATTCTGATTTCATTTTAAAGTAGCTTAGCTCTAATTTTAAATCTGCAAGACTATGTCCCTAGCAGAGGAAAGAGTAATTCTCTATCTGGCTTGTCAATTCTTTGCTTTATTTTATTCACCTCAATCACCTTCCCCCTCCCTACCCACTACCTCAGAATCAGAGAATATAAACCAAGTTTGCCCAGCCTCTCATCTCAACTAAATTCCTTTATCTCAGGTACTTATCTGGTGATTGTTGACAGCTGCTTCGCATTTGAGAGGTTACATCATGTGGAGTTCACAACGTTCACCTCTGTTGTGTGTTAACTTTTCACGTGTTCTTACAATGACCTAAGTAATGTAATGTCAGCACTCTGCAAAAACTACCAGAGTTCAAAATCCTAACTTTTGTTATGCTTGCGATTAAGGAAATAGATGGTAGAAAATACAGCAGCAAATCTGGATCCTGGTGATTTAACATTTTAAATAACAACATGTTTAAAATGATAATCAAAGGTTAATATATCTTTCATAAGGTTGGGTGTCCAAAACTGAACACAGTACTCCAAATGAGGTCTGACCACAGAACCTTGTAAATTTACAGCTAGAAGGAAAGCACTCAACCTATCAGCCCTGTTCTGACTCTCTGAGAGAGCTATCTATTTAGTGATAGATACAAATGCAGATGTATATCTTTGTTTTTATATTCCAGTTCCCTAGTTATAAAGTCCATTATCACATTAGCCTTTTTGTTTACTCTCTGAACCTGCAATCTAGCTTCTCATGATTTATAATCTTGCACCCTTAATTCTGTTTGTTCATCTACGCAAATGTTTCAAAACTCTGCTCTCACCAATAACAGGCTCTGCAACCCCATCACCCCAGAGCTTACCAGATTCCACTGGCTCCCTATTGCAGAACAGATCAATTTCAAGATCCTCACTCTCACTTTCAAATCTCTTCATGTCCTGCCTCTCTAGCTCTCCAATCTGCTCATTCCCCACTCCATTACTTTTATTCAACTGGCTCAGATCTACTGCACACTCCTAGTCCCCTCCGCTCCACCATTGGAGGCTTTGCTTTCACCACTATGCCCTGAATCTCTGGAACTCCCTGCCTCAATCCCTCCTTCTTGCCCCCTCTTTGCCCATCTTCAAATCAGAACTGAAGACTTTCCTCTTCTAGCCGTGCCTTTGGTCAGATCCCATTCCTTTCCAGGTCAGCTCTGAGACGCTACCTGCGTGAAGGGCACTATGCAAATGTAGTTGTTGTATTCTTCTCATGGTTTTCCACTTGGCATATATTCCCTTCCGCCATTCTTACATCATATTTTATTACATTCAACTCCATCTACCACAGTTCTACCCCATAACTTAGTCTATTTATGGCTGTCTGGAATTTTCTGCTCTGTTCTTCACAATTTACACCTGGATCTGTGTTATTCTCATATCTAGACATATTCCACTCCATTTCTAATTCTAGATCATCATTCATGTAGTGTAAACAGTACCATTCCCTGTAGGGCACCACTTGTCACTGCCCATCAATCAGAGAACATCCCTTTTACCTCAATGAATATCCTATCCATACTTTGAGACTGTTTCTAATTTCATGCAGCTTAATTTTAGCTGGATAAATATTCCTATGCAAAGTTGATCTGATGTTGTTTTATGAGCAACTTATTATTTTATGTCGATACAAGTTATGCAAAATAATGATAAGAGGTCACCAAGATTCAGCAATATGTTTGCTCACACCCAACCTGCTGGTTCAGATCTTCTGCACATTCTCAATCCCTCCATTCCACCATCCACAGACAATTCTCCAACTCTCTGGAACTCCCTGCAGCAATTCTTCTGTTTTGTCACCTTTTTGCCTGTCTTCAGACCACACCTGAAAAATTTCCTCTTCAGCTACGATATGGTCACCTTCCCTTTCTTCCCTGCTCACATCAGACTGTACCATTATTAAGTGCTACGAGTCACTACCCCAGTGAAGGGCAATAGACATTACTGTCTCATATAAGCACAATATGGGATATTCTCCCGGTGTGAAAGGTACAATACAAATGTAATTTTGTATTGTATATAAACGCAAGCTGCTATTTTCATCAAGTGTTTATCTTTGCACACAATGCCTGTAATCTCATACACCTGTATCTCACTGCATCAATCATCATTATCTTCACACATAAAAATAAAAGATCAAATAAATCATTGTAATTACACTAAAATTTAGAGCAGTTTCTGATTGCAACACTGCCCCATCAGTAGCATGTAGTAATGGTAATGGCGCATGCATTAAGATAATAAGGTGCAGCTGCCTGGGAATTGTGGCAAGAGAGACGGGAAAGAACCCTTGAAGTAAAAACAACACTTGCAAGCTGTTTAGAATGCATCAGGCAAGACAGTGGTTCAAGCATTAGGTGGCAGTCTATCGATAACTACAAGGAGTTTTTCTGAGCAGTTAGTTATAATAATAATCCTTGCAGATGTCTTGAAGACCTTATCACATCTTCAAAACATCTCAAAGCACTGCACAGAATATACTGTAAAGTGAATTTACTATATATTTTGTGGGCAAAACTCAATAGCCAATTGCGCACAGCAGTGTCCCACACATAGTAGTGGATTGAGTGGCCAAATTATTATTTTATCTATTATTCTTTTGAAGGGATTATTATCCCTGGAAAAGTGATCCTCCAGTTGACTAACAACCAGGTTCCTACTTATTTCTGGGTAAACAGAGGTGTGTGGAGCAAGGAAACTTGCCTAAGGTTTTGCCCTGCCCGGGAATTGAACCCAGGTCCTTTCACTTAGTGACGGATACTGACCACAATATTCTAATTTAGGACTAATTAATGATGTATCAAAGTTTAGTATTACCTGCTTGGTTTTATATTCTATATCCCTATTTATAAAACCAAATATTGAAGATAACAATAATCCTTGCATTTGATTTGGTACCAAATCACATCATTGAGATGTTTCAAAGTGCTTCACAGAATGTAAAGTTGACTGATTGCTTCATTTTTGGGCAAAAGGTGGCAGCAAAGTCTGCACTCAATCCATAAACAGTCATGGATTGATTGACCAAATTATTTTGTTTGGAGGGATTATTACACCCAGAAAACAATCCGCCAATCAACTAACAAACGGATTCTTCCGTAATGTGAGGTAAACAGAGGCGTATGAAGCAAGGAAACTTGCCTAAAGTTTTCTTCCATCCCGGAATATAATTTAGGATTATATTCATTTTTGGAGAACTCATTCTGAACTAAAAACATTCTGGTTTTTAATCTCTTTCTTAGTCTTATCCGATGAACCGAGAAATGGAAACAGGAGTTCAGAGATTTGAACAGTTTTATGTTCCCACGTTGTATATGTTCAGTTTTAATGCATTCCACCCCTTGGAGGTTCTGTTGTGATCACTCGTGAAACTACTTAACTGCTGATCGATTCAGATTAAAGAGTGCCTTCCGATTGGTTTTTAAATCCTGGTTGAGAATCTACTGAATAGGAGACCCGCTGATCTGGGGGTGTGGCATGTGTCCAGTTTAAGGCACTTAAAAAGCTAGGTGTAGGTTAAATGTTGTGGGGGGGGGGATTTTAATGTTAGGAGGGAGTGATATAACTTGCCAGTTTAGCAAAGTTGCACCAGGGGTTTGTGCAAGATGAGCATAATTTTTGGGTAAGGCTGAGTGTTGGAAGGAATAAATAACTAAATAAATCAGTGTGCGTTTCCAATGCATGCTGGTGTTGTGCTCACTGACTGTCCTCTCTCCCCAGGGTTACTCTGATTCTGATGGGGTTTGTCTCCAGCACATGGATGGAATTACTTTCGCCGCCTCCAGGTTATAGTCTCACTTTATCGGAATCCCTCTCCGTTTTCTTTAAACGTTGCTTTGCTAATGTGCCTCCTCTTCCCCCCCCCCCCCCCCCCCCCGTAACAGGTCTCCTGCAAAGTGGCTGCTATGATCGTCTCTTCTGGATGCGGCTGAATGGCTCTTTCCTACACTTCTGGTCTCTGGGTGTTGCTGGTAAGTCCGTGCAGATGGTACTGGGGACCAGGCTTTTTTGAGTCTCTTCTAATCCAAGGTGTTTTTTTTAAAATTAGATTCAGTCGGAAAAATTTACCCACTTGCGCCCCTTTTTGCAACTGAATGTGGTTACACTATCTCCGAGGATCCATTTGGTAACGTTGATTTACGTGCCTCTGTGATGGCATGTCTAGTGGAGAACCAGGTGAGAGGGCGCTGCCTGCATACTTTATTACACAAATGGAATAATAGTAATAATAATAATCCTTGCATTTGTTATAGTGCCATATTGTGTCTTTGAAATGTCTCAAAGCACTTCAGAATATACTGTAAAGTGAATTGACTATATTTTGTGGGTGAAATAGGTAACTGCTTGTTAACTGGAGCAGTTAACTGGGAGAACATCTGGCTTTAAGATTTATTCTTGTATAAACAACATAAGGTTTATTTCATAGCACAGCTTGTTTGAACATTACTTCGGAATAAACCCTTCAAAAATGTTTTTTTTAAAAAATAACGATTTGGTCATTCAATCCAAGACTGTTTATGGAATAAAACACAAAATACTGCAGTTGCTGGAAATCCCACTGTTTATGGGACACTACTTTGCGCAAATCGCTGTTGCGTTGTGCCCACAAAATAGTCTTTTGTGAAGTGCTTTGAGATGTCTTGAAAAAGTGATAAGGCACTATATCAAATCCAAAGATTATTGTTTATCCCTCGGTTCTAATTACTGCCATGTATCTTGCAATAACATTTGCTGCCTCCTGGTGGGAATAAACTTGGTTCTGACAAACCCCTTAGTGACCCAATCTGCTCTTTGAGTTTATTGAAGATGAGTCCAGAATAATCCTTAAAATGAATGCAAGATTGTTAATGGAACAAAATTCTACATTGACCCCAAAAAGTTGCAGAATTGCTACCTGCTATTGACAAAAAGCCCAACTGTGAAAACTGAAGTTTTTTTAAAAAAAGGAAAGGATTTTACATTTCTAGTGTAGTTATTCAGTGGCTGTTAAATGTTTGAAATTACAATTACTGAGATCCAGTTGCCTCTTACTGTATCTTCAACTAAGATACAATGTTGGCTTCAAAGGTACAGTTAAAAGGTACCATTGTTGGCCCCGCTTTCAGCCACTGCACTCTGGAACACTTCTTCTATCCCTCCACCTTGCCCCCCTCCATCCCCATCTTCAAGTTGTGCCTAAAGACCTTCCTCTTCGACGGTGCCTATGGTCACCTCCCCCTGGCTTGGCATCATGCTGTGTCACTGTTAAGGGCTCTAGGATGCTATCCTGCATGAGGGATGCTATATAAATCCAAGTTGTAGTTGTTGGCTAGCAGTGGAGTTAACCATATTTCTACAGCCAGGGACAAAGAAAACACCAGCTTATTCTGTTAGCTGAAATTTTATATTTGGAACCTGTGAGCAATGGAACCAAAGTCATTTGTATTTTATATTTCAAAGCTCATTTACTTGAGGCAGAGAAGTTGCATTGGTTCAATAACATAGTTATAATAGGCAAGGTTACAACAAACTATTTGCTGTTTTGCTCATATAGCAATGTTCCTGTAATGACTATCAAAATTCATAAGCAATAGACAAACATTTCTTGCTCATTTGAAGGTACAGCCAGTTGTAGCAATAACTCTGAGCTGTGGATGTTGAATCAAAGAACCAAAGTTGAATCCCTAGCAGTTGTGTTACAGCTGTTTTCTTGTATCGTTGCAGTTCTTCTGTTTTTTGTTTTTGTGGGGGGGGTTTCTTTTCAATGTTGCTGGAATCTTGGAATAGTTGAGTTTAAGTGGCTTGAGTTGCAAAACCTCAGGTAGAAGTTCTGCCATTCTGGAGGAGCAGAGAACTTAGTCACTCTCTAACTACCTTGAGCTGAACACTCAGATGATAAATTCTGAATAACAAAGTAAAGCTTATTTTTTTTTAAAATGGAGAATGGTCCATGTGAATCTGCACGTTCTCACCCACCTGATGGTTGTTTTCAGGCTGGTTTAAACAAGCTGGGACCGTCTTTGAATACGGTACTCACAAGCTGATTCTAACCAAAACAATGCAGGATCATTACATCAACAACTAACAAAAGAGGTGCAGCTGTACCAAACGCATTTCTTACTTCTGAACCAATTTAACTCTTCCAGGTTCACAATCTGACATTTTCCATAAATTTCAACTAAAGGTATTAAAAACTACTCTGTAACAAGTCATACTCTGATAAACTCAACAATATGTTATTTTTTTGCTGATTCTGATTAGGCTTATAGTGTCTATAATCATTCCAATGCAGACTTAATGATTGCATAAGCATTTCTAATTAAAATAAAATAGTATTAAGCAATAATGTATTTCTGATTCCAACATTAGCTAAAACATTCAAATTTGTCTTTTTAGGGGGATGAAATGTTTACACTGACGGTCCAAATTCAAATCTCTGCAACCAGTGACATGACTGCGGCTCAAACATATCAACACACCATGAAGTGCTCATATTATCCTTGGATGACCAGGGAAATCCTATGTGAAAAAAATTACATGGAAGTATGTATCAGTACAGAAATGTTTGGCTTACCATGTATGTTCCTCCACCCCTTTGGGAAGGAAAGAAACTTTTCTTCCCGTTGAAGTAGATCATTTGATTCATTTCTCAATTTGAGCATAATTGGACATTGGACTAGTGAGGTGTTGCTGTGGAAACTAAACTTTTTTTGTGTGGGTGAGTGTCTAATGTGTTTGGAAACCATTAGCATGCTTAAGAGTATGCACTTTGAAATGGCCTGCTGAATTGAAAGGTACTCTAAATGCTATTTTTTTTAAAAAAGAGCCTTTTTAAAAAAAATTCAAAATACTCTAAGAGTCACTGCACTTTACAGTAAACATCTTGTAGCAAATGTGACAGACAATTTGTGCACAGCTGTGTCCCACAAAAGCTAATGTGAAAGACCAACTTTACTTGAGGGATTATTGACCAGGACACTGGGAAAAACTCAGTTTAAATGGTGTTGCAAGATCTATTTGACAGACTTCTAGTCAGAGGGACCACTTGTGACATGCCAGCCACACTGATCTAGAGGTCCAACTCCAATCCTGGAGCTTAGAACAATGGAAGCTGTTTGGACACATCACAAGATTGATTTGGATGATGTCCAGGGTTACTTTCTAGGTAAATACTTCCGAGAATCTGCCCTGAATTTGCCTTTTGCAACTCTAAACTGTCTACTGTCTTACTGCATTCTAAAGTATTGTTCTGGGTTTATTTTTTATCCCATTTTCAAATTTGGTACATCTATGAGGTCCCTTCAGGTGTCTTGAGAATGAAGAGTACTCTTTTACACCAAAATCTTGCTGTAAATGGCTTCATATTATGAAGGAAGTTAACTTTGATCACTGGAATGAAATATTTGCTGGATAAACATATCTGGTATTTAATGAAGCCTTTTATTGTGAAAAGGCAAGTTAATTGATTAGGTTGAAAGAATTTACCTTTGATTGAATTCATGTCTCTGTTGCCTTAGATGCAGTATTCACTGCAGATTTTTTTTAATTGTAGCGGTTACTCACAACTTGAAGTGTCCCACTCAGATTAAATGTATGGCATTAATTGGAATTATTTGGTAAATACCAACACTGCTTCAAATTCTTCAGCAACAAACCATTATTGTGTCATTCAATAAGACGTAATCCACTAAGGAGTCATGCTTAAAATGCTCCATTTAGTTCAGGAATAACACTTCACTCTTTTGGGGACTGGTATAGGTGTCTGTACAAAGGATTATACCAGGAATTGAAGATGATTACCATGAAGACTGGATAGCAGCCATTCCATCAGTAAGTTACTTTCCAAACTATTTATTTGTTCACAACTATTGTTCTAGTTCCCCTCAGTGGCACCAATCTATTTGCTTTTTAGGCCCAAGAAGCTGAAAGTGCAATATGGCAAGTTGTATTTCACCTTCTTGAAGGAATGAAAACCATGATGGTGAATGAGACAACTGAGCTTGGCTATAGAATTGACACAACTGTAGCTCGACTTGTATTGAGAGCTCCATACAACACAACAGAAGTTGAGCTGATGATGGTGAGTACTTTTTTTTAAAAACATTGCAAAATAGCTGTGTACCAAATGGTCTTTGCCATGCAACAACTGTCTCTGATCTGTATAGATCCACGGTGTGTCAGTATCTTCCATCAGATCAACCACCTTCTACAAACAGAAATGGCTGATTTTCTTGATTGATACAGCTGTAGCCTGTCCTGTTGGTAAGTAAACTGATATTGTGAAGTCTTTGCATTTCTTCACCCCACTTTCTCTCCACCCCATTTGCTTCATTTAAACCACTAAGGTGACAAGTTACTTTCTTCTGGTACCATGATGACGCAGTCGCACTACTAAGCCAGGATGCATAATACTCTTAGTTATGCACACATTGTCCCTGATGTGGGTTAGAGTTGACTTCATTCTGACTCTACTGCTTAGCCTTTGAATGCTGCATAATTTGCTAGTTTTTAGTTTTTTTAAAAAAGTGTGTTCAGGCCAAGAACTCGAGACATAATGCATGCAAGGCAGTGACCCCCCCCCCCCCCAGCCCCCAGTTTAATAGTACTTTTGCTATATTATAACCCATGAGTGACTGTTTATCTATAAGCATAGCCAATAGAAAACTGTGGAAATATTTGCCAAAAATTGCAGGGGAATTTGACACAACAATTTACATTTGTATAGTGCCTTTCACATCAAGAGGATGTTCCAAGCAGCTGGAATTCCCAAGGAGAAATTTGACAAATTTTGCGGGGGTTGATTGGTGCTATTGAGAGGCAACTTTTACTGCTAACCTACATTTGTTGTATGTACATGATTGTTTGGGGAAGGCCAGAGGAGAGGCTCTGAACCTGGGAGAGAAGTGAAAAGCAAAGTGAACTGGTGGCTGGGAACATCCTGCTTTCATTCACTTTGTGCCCGGTTTCTAGAGGTGTTAAACCAAACCAAAAGTGGCCCAAAACATATCCCAAAGGCCACCCACAACTTGCGATAACACTGAGCTCTGAGCCAGTGGTGGTGTTGGTTTAGAGAAGGAGTAAAACAGTACAGTAGCTATTTATAGTTACCAAAGTTTAATATGCTCAAAATCATGGGGATCTTGTAGTCCTGTTTCCCATGTGATGGAAGCAGACCACTGCTATTTCTCTCTCTCCTCCACCCCCCCCATTCCCAATGTCAATGATCCTGATTTTTTTTTTAGTACAGGAATTGGCTGGCTTGATATCCTTGCATGTGCAGTCAAACACATTATTAGAGATGGCAGCTCCCATCATTTCCCACCAAACTGAGCAGGTTTCAGTAGAAGAGCACCTGGATCACAGTGATCACAATATCATTAAGTTTAGAATATCTATGGAAAGGGAAAAGGAGCAATCAAATGTGAAAATACTCAATTGGAAGAGGGCTAATCTCAGCGAGTTAAAAAGGGACCTAGCCAAGGGGGACTGGAAAGAAAGATTAGCAGGTAAAACAGCTAATGAGCCTTCAAGGAGAAGATAGTTTGGAGATAGAACAAATACATTCCCGCAAAGGGGAAAGTTAGAGCATCCAAACCACCCTGGATGAATAAGGAAATTGAGATTAAAATTAACCAGAAAAAGGAGGCTTATGATAAATGTCAAGTCCAAAATACAGAAGATAATAAAATAGTCCAGAGGAGACTAAAGAGGAAATCTTTTTGTGGAGGCAGAGGGCATGGCTGATGTATTGAATGAGTACTTTTTTTGTGAAGACAGATGCAGAGAATGCAGCCAATGCCACAATATCGTAAGAGGGTAGAGAAATTGAATAAAATAATTTGAGAGGAGGTACTATTTTGAAAAGAGGGTGAAGGAACAGAGAATCCTGGGGTTTCATATAAATAAATCTTTGAAGGTGGCAGGACAGGTAGATAAAAATGTTAAAGCTGTTAAAAATGCATACAGATACTAGGCTTTATAAATAGGGGCATAGAATACAAAAGTCAGGAAGTTATGATAAACCTTTATAAAACACTGGTTAGGCCTCAGGTAGAGTACTGTGTTCAGTTCTGGGCACCACACTTTAGGAAGGATGTCAATGCATTGGAGAAGGTGCAAAGGAGATTTACCAGGATGGTACCAGGAATGAGGGACTTCTTTAAGAGAAAAGTATATAATTATTTGGGGAGGATGAGCTTGCAGGGCTAAGAGAAGAGAGCAGTGTAAAGGGATTGATTTGGATTGCTCTTTTCAAAGAGATGGCACAGACATGATGAGCCAAATTGCCTCCTGTGCTGTATAATTCTATGATTCTCAAGGGCGACCAGCATGGCTGTCCAAGCTCCCACCCACCTACCTGACACCTATTGGCCCCTTCAACTCTCTACCTGGACCACCATTGGGTGATGGCAATACCAATGAAGTTAGGCCGCCTGCCATTGGGTGGAAGTGCCATCCTCAATTGCTGTTGGTCAAGAGCGCGCCAATCAACCAGCCAACAACCCCTGTAGCAGTGAATGGCCTGGCTCGGTCAACTCACCAGTTTTTGTGGAGAGTGTCGGGTTTTGTAGATTCCATGGGAAAATTGTGGCCGCACTTTTCTTTTGGCTCAGCCTATAAGCAGTTGTCTTAAATAGTAAATGCCACCCATGGTCCTGGATACAAGTGTTTGCTCAGATAACCTTTGCAGCATGAGTTTTCTTATTGACCTCCACAAAACGATGATGCCGAGTCTCTTTACTAAGCTTTAAGCAACCCCATATCTTCTAATGTACTGAATCTCTGAAGATTTATTTGACAGAAATCTAGGTTGCATTTGAATACAGTGTAGTGACATGGATACAGTTAGTTTATATCAATCTTACTGTAAAATATTACAATTGATGCTCATTTACTAGATTGTAAATTTAATAGGTTGTTTGCAAACAATCATTAGATGAGAACATAAAATAGTAGTTGTATTTATTACAACCGCGACCTTGGTGAATGCTAAAGGATTAATTCCTGGAATGATAAATGGCTTGGAGATCCTTTGAATATCTAAGTTATCAATTTAGTCATTCCAAAAGTAAATCTAAACCATCTTGTATCATATTCCTGGTTCAGATTTAATGTTGAGTCATTTGTACAAATAGGCCTGCCAGTTAACTAATCTTTATTGCTGTCTGACAAGCTTTCCCACTGCTTGACCAGTTAGGAACACCGCACACAATAGGGCTTTGGCTTGCAGAGTTACCAGGAGCTGAGTGGGATGACTCCCTGCTGCCAGTGACTGGTCTGCCCTTCCAAGTCCTGCTGATGAGCCAGACTGGCTGTGCTATCATCAGTGCTTCACAGAATATACTGTAATAAAAACAGAAGTCATTCGAAACACACAGCAGATCACGCAGCATCTATGAGAGAGAAAAGTGAGTTAACATTTCAGGTCAAAACTGAGAGATGTTGGAAGGGAGCAGATTATAAGGATGAGCAGAGAAGGGGGCAGGGAAAGAAAGACAAAGAAAAATGTTAGGTGGAGGACAGGAGATAATGAGATCAGAGGTGTTGATGGTGCAAGACAAAAGAAGGCAATAGTGGGAAATACTGTAAAGTGAATTAACTGTATATTTGTGGGCAAAGGTTCACGAGTCTAAATCTGCAGTTCATCTTGTATTGAGCAGGATTACTTTTGCAACACTACTACTATAAACTTATTGTCTATCTTAATGTGTTGGAAGAATGTTAACCAATGTAAACTACTTATCTTTTTGTTAGATGGCACCACCTTCACACAGAATGCAATTACTTGGACAATTCCAAGAGCAATTCCTCCACTGAGTCTTGAAATTGAAAAGTTCTTTGACAATAGTATCATTCTAGGAGTCAACAATACAATTCTGGATCAAACCACAATAACCAAGAGACACTATACACTAGAGTATAATGATACAAATATTGTTGCTACCATTCCTGTTGGAGCAGAGGGTGGATATTACAAGGTTTGTAATTGTCCTTAACAATGGTTTGTAATTAGAAGATGTGCAATTCTATTCCTGTATCTTCAACTAATTGTATCTACCTTCTGTTAAAACTTTTTAAACTGCATAATATGGTTTCAGAGCTATGTATCTGAAGGACAGTATGGTATCAAATATTACATAGATCTGATGATGCAACATCAGTGGAAGGACGACACCTGGGAACTGACCAAATACACAGTGATTCATCCAGTTGTTACTCCCTTCATGCCTCAACCACTCATTGTGATCAATAGTAAGTAATGAGATAAAATCAGCACTTTGTTGGGAAAAGAATTGCTGGAAAGATTGTTTTCATATCAAATCTTTCTTTCAGACACCATTCCAGAAACACGAGTCTTCAATGTTACACTTGGATATTTTCTTCAAGATGTAGACCTCATAACTGTAACTATAGGCATGAAAATAGTTACAGTGGATCAAGTAGACAAAATAGGATTCAAAATTTATGAAATTGCATTACCTAACAATACTAAAGCCTACATATTGGAAGTTCCCTTTGATAACATACATATACAGCAAAAGGTAAGTTCTTAACATTGCCATGACTACATGGGCTTCGAATGGTCATATTGCCACATACCTCAAATGAAGAATTTTCTTGGGTCTGGTTCAAATTACAAATTGGTCTCTAATACCTAATTATACTATTGTGCTCTGGAACGCTACCCTGCATGAGGGGTGCTATATAAATCCAAGTTGTTGTTGGAGTACATAATTAATGGGAACAATATTAAAATTAGGAACAAGAGTAGACAATTTAGTGCCTCAAGCCTGTTCCACCATTCTATTAGATGATGGCTAATCTGTACCTCAACTCCATTTACCCATCGCTTCTTCAAATCCCTTAATGAGACTTACCTAATGTCTATTTCAGAAATTCTACAGGAATAACTTGTAATGTTTGATACAATCATTTAAGGACTGCCTTCTAGCTAATAACAATTCAGGAAGTTCTGCATTAAATGTTCCAAACATTCAGATTAGTCAATACAAAAGTTTTATGGAAGCCTCTCCCATATTTCTTTCTTATTTATCCCCCACCACCCACCCCCCCAAAAAAAAAACCGGTGAGGCTTCCAGCATACCTGCTCCCACTCTCTGGAACTCCATCCCAGAGCCCCTTTGATTCATCCCTTCCCTCACCTCCAAGGTTCACCTCAAGACCTTCCTCTTTGCATTTCAGTCACCTTCCTCAACCCCATTGGCCACCAACTTGGCCCAGAACTGTCCAGCACCTCGGGACATTCTATTACAATTTGTATTGCAGAAATAGACCTTGGATCACATCACACCAAGGTATTTGGAATTATCATTTTACCAAGTATTACTTATAACTTGGGATCAGTTTGGAATTAAACCCTTGCTATGTTCCCTACCTACAAGCTTTTTAAGACAAACATTTGGGAGAGCCAGAATCTGGGGTATATGGGTCTTTGTCATAAAATATATGACTTAAATTCATCTGGAAAGAAAGGAGACTGTCTTGAACGTTTACTGCAAAATGTTAACAATAATATCCAGTTAAACAACTTGCAGAGCTGATCACTCCTTCCCAATGCAAGAGGAAGATGACTTTTTCCTTTTCACTATTGCTATTGGAACATTCTGCATCCCTGTTATGTTTGTTGGACTTCTGGTAACTGGCCTTTGCAGATATTGCAGATATGTCAAACTTGGTTTCTCAGTGAGTGCTTGCATCTCAAATGAGCATTTTGGAATGTTATCTTAATGTGATCCTGCAAATTGATTAGAATATCCAACCTGTAATACAATTTTGATCTTATTTGGTTGTACCACTTTCAATGTGTTTCTTTCAGCATGTACATTCTGACACTAGACAGTATATCATTGATGTAATCTACACTTTGACTGTCCTGCCAGAAAATGATACTTTTATCAAGCATATCCAAATAATCCATGAAGTGCAAGATATTGGTGAGTAATGAAATTCTGAAGAACAGAGTGAATTGTCATGTAGGAAACTAAGCATATTTATTTTTTTCTCTCCAGTGATTCCCAAGGCTGTTGCATCCTGTGATGCAAAGAATCTGTATTTGCTGGTTAACTATGGAAACTTGAAGGCATACTGGCTTCCATTTATTGGCAATACACTTATAACACCAAAATTTGCAGATGAAAACAGCTATGCATTGATAGATAATGGTACACACATCCTGTTTGGTATCCCACACACTGCAGCAGGTGTAATAACCGAGGTATGTAATATAGATGACTGGTGTTTAATCAGTATTTTGTTTTTACACTTGATCTTCAGTTTTATTTTTTCTGCAGGAATTGAATCTCTATAGCTTTAAAGCTCGGTTCAACTTGACTTTGAAGTCCAAAAATACTCCGGGTATTGAAATCAACTTTTTTGTGTCCTGCAAATTTCCTACCGTAGAATTTATAGGTAACTATGAATCTTAACTAGCTGTACTTCAATGGTCACCAAGACTGATCTGGATTCCACTTGTGATTTTTTTTTCCCCCCCCTCTTCCAGTGTGCTTTCCAAATGGAACTATGGCAGTGGTGGCTGTGGTAGAGACGGTACCTGATTTAGACCCTGGTAAGATGGTGCTGAAAGATGGAAAATGTCACCCACAAGAGTTTGATCAGGATAAAGCATTCTTCCGATTTAATGTTGATAGTTGTGGCACTACTCACATGGTGAGTCAAGAATGTTGTTTTGGAGGTTATAGTCAATATTGCTTATATATTAAATGTTTCAAATTTCCACATGTGCTGGCAGCGTAAATAAAATATCTAGCTTTACTGGAACTTTTATTTATCCATTCCTCTTTAGATTAAAGGAAACTACTTGATTTATGAGAATGAAGTTTCATATCCAAGAGAATTGATACCCGTTGATTCCCCAGTGATAACCAGAGACCCTGAATACCGGTGGGTGTCTTGAATAGATATTTCCCCCTGTTGGTGCCTTAAACTGATCTCTACATTTTGAGCCAATGATTTTTTTACTTTCTTGCAGGTTGACTGTCTCTTGTCATTATCAAATAAATGAGACCCTGGTTGTTGGGTTTGCCAGAGACTATAAGAAAAGTTTGATTGTTTCTGCTCCTGCAGCAACTGACTGGTATATTGTGAGAGGTAACTGTGCAATATTAAATTGATCGTATTGCATCCAATTGAACTAAAGAATTTGGAGTGGACACTCCATTTGAAGGGAAAGTAAATTGTCCAGTTGGCATGAACTGGCTCTATGCTGTACTTGACAACGATGTGAATCAAGTCAACCCTCTCAGTTCTGAGCAAGGCATTGCTGATGATCAACTCTGTCTGGCTTTACAGCAGAACTTGAAGGAGCAGACTGGGGCTGAGGTTCTTCCCAATTGCCTCCTGTTAACCCAAAACCCTAATGCCTACGTTGCTCCTAGATTGTCAACAATAGAAGCTTGCCAGACAGTCCTCTCATTGGCAAACCATAGGGTCTTCGCTAGCTAAACTCCAGCAGTATCCTAACACATTCTAGGGTCTCCAAGCCTCCTAACCTTTTCCCAGTAGAGTTCAGAACTAGTATTTTTTTTTAAGAAGTAGGTAAGCAGATTATCCCTCCAGGAGGTGTGCATTCCAGACATATGGAGGGGTGGTCAATGCACATGAGTACTCCTCCATGATGATGGGTTTTTTCATGTTATACACCTAGTTGACTAAAGGTAATTAATTTGCTGTAGCCCTTAATCAGTCTCTCAAGCACTTCTCAGGATTTACTAGAAAATGTGCAGTGACTATTGGTAGGCAGATTGCAACAGCAACTTGTGTACACCAATGTCCCTGTTTGTTTTTCTTTCCCCACCCTGATCTTGCCTCCATGAGGTGAATGACCAACTGGAGGATTGTTGCCTGATGAACTCCCTTTAAGATCATGGATAGATTAGTTGATTAGGCAGAGAAATGGCAAATGAAAACCTGAATGCAGATAAGAACAAGTATATTCTGGGTGAAAAAATATTAAAAGAAGCAGAAGATCAAAGGGACTGGGATGGGGATTAATGTGTGTAATGGGATCTTAAATTTTATAAACTGGGTATAGAATATAAAACCAATGAGATGATGCTAAACTTGTATAAATCGTTAGTTTGATCAGTTAGAATATTTCTAGTGTGACACCAGGGATGCGTGATATGGCCTCTGGAGGAACTGGGACTTTTCTGCTGGAATAAAGGTTGAGGGGTGACCTGATAGAGGTCTTCAAAATTGAGACATTTGGATAGATAATATAGGAAGAAACTATTTCCTCCAAATCAGTAATTAGAGGGCATCAATTTAATATGGTAAACTAGCAAATGGAAAGATTAGGAATTTTCACGCTAAACAATTGGGATATAGAGTGCCCTGCCAGGAGCACTGGTTGAGGTAGAATCTATATTAACAATTAAGAGGGAACAAGACAAATACTTTATGAATCAGCTACAGGGAGCATGGGACTAAAAGGATTTCACGCCTTTGTCACCTCAAGGCTGGACTATGGGAACTCTCTCCTCGCCGGCCTTCCCGCCACCTCCCTCCACAAGCTGCAGGTCATTCAGAACTCTGCAGCTCGTGTACTGTCCCGCACCAGGCTTCGGGACCACATCACTCCCACCCTCGCTCGCCTCCACTGGTTCCCCATCCCCCAGAGGATTGATTTCAAGATCCTCATCCTCACCTACAAGGCCATTCACGGCCTTGCTCCCTCCTACCTCTCCAACCTACTATCCCCCTACCTACCTGCCCGTACCCTCCGTTCCTCTGGCTCCGGTCTGCTCCACGTCCCCCGCCCAACGCCCTACTATCGGTGGTCGGGCCTTCAGCCTCTCAGCCCGAGGCTCTGGAACTCCATCCCCCAGTGCCTTCGCCTTGCTTCCTCCCTTTCCTCCTTCAAGGCCGGTCTCAAAACCTTTCTCTTTGACCGTGCCTTCAGCTCCCCTCTCGACTCTCTTCCTCCTCCTCGCTCCCTCCCTTCCCTCCCCTCACCCTGACCATTTCCCCCTCCTCTCTCCCTCCCTTCCCTCCCCTCACCCTGACCATTTCCCCCCTGCTCGGGTCATGACCCAACTGTGCAGTGCCTTGGGACGTCCTCCTGACGTGAAAGGCGCTCTATAAATGGAATCTTGTTGTTGTTGTTGTTGTTGATTGCTTGAGGGAGCCAGCATATCGGTGGATGGCCGCTTCTGCTGTAAATTTCTATGGTTTCAAATCGTGCCATGTAATATTTAAATGACCATTAGCATGTCTGCCTAGACTAAGTTCAGAAGTTCCAGTATAGGGCTTGAACCCACAACTTTGCTTCTGGTGTGTGCATACAATCTGCTGAGCCAGAGTAATTGCTGCATTGATCTTATGGAGAAGTCTTTGACTGACTAAACTAGTACTGTACATGGGCATTTTAGTCTAAACTTTGAGGCAAAGTGCTTTATGACTTATTGCAATCTGATTAATCCAGTGGCACTTTATAGGACGCAAGCAGCCAAGATGGACTTTGAACCTACATTCAAGAATTTATAAAAGTAAGTTGAACCTTCATTTCAGAACTTTGATACTTGTCCGTTTCAAAATTGTTTCATCTAGTTTTTCTTTTCAGACGCTTCTTATCTGGACTTCTACAGAGAAGATGAATACCCAGTTGTGAAATACTGGACTGATTCACTATATTTTGAAGTTGAACTAAGTGACCAAGGCCCCCAAACTGAATTATTATTAGATCGCTGCTGGATAACTGAATCTCCTGATCATCATAGCTTACCGGAGAGGATTATAATTCAGAATGGGCAAGTATTGAAATGAGTGGATCTTGCTACCTATTTATTCTTAGAACTAAACATTACCTTTCCATATTCTCTCAACAGTTGTGGAACTAAGGAAGAAATGTTCATGACTGTCTTTCATCCAGTATCCAACAACAATGAAATGAGCCAATATCCTCACCACTTGAAAAGATTTGAAGTTGAATTAAAAATGCCAACCATTAACCAAACTAACTTGCCTAAAAAAGTAAGTGGCTAAGGTTGGTGTATGTATGTCTGAATGTTGTGAGTTTATGGTGGTTTATTGAATGATTGATTTTTTGCAGGTGTATTTCCACTGCAGCACAGTGATGTGTAATACTAAACAACAAGTGGCTAATTCATTCTGCAATGGACAGTGTACACCAGGAACAATTGGTAATTATTTTTCATTTTTTGTGTGTGGTTATGAGTGGACTTTCCTTCTCTTCAATTAATGCTGATATTTTTATAGGCAAGAAGACTGGATCAGATCTCTTTCAAAGCTATGTACCTCTAGGTGAAGTGTGGATTCTTTCTGGTGAAACTACTGAAAAATTTAAGGGCATTAAGCACAGTGAGTATTGAATCAAGCTGTGCATAGTTGTGGACATCTAAATGTATAATTGGCCATTTCAGCAAGTGCGTTAACCTATCCATTCCAAATTGTCCTTCAACAAATGTGTTGTTAATTGACAACAGTTTAGTGAGACTTTAGCCCATTACAAACCTCACATTTTGTATGGCTAACTTCATTTGACTTTATACCCTTTCAGCACTTAATATTAGTGAACCCTTAACTAAACTTTAAATTCCATGGCTCAAACTTGCACAATCAGCTCTAAGAAACTATACTAAAATGCCTGCACTAGCCATCTCAACAGGAGGTAACAAATTAGTTGAACCAATTAACAAGATGGAAAAAATAAATTGTTTTTTGAAAACTTTTTTTTCAGGTGAAGAAGTGCAGGTGTATTGGCCATGGTTGCTGGGAAGTTGTGTAATGTTAATCTTGGTTGCAGCTGTAATAATGCTTCAAAGAATACAAGTGTCCCATTAAAAGGAAATAAAATGAGCATTATCTGAACCAGTTTGTGTAGTTAATAATTGTTAGACTGCTAATCAAGCATACCTACAATTGAACCTCAAAAAAGTTTGAAAACCATATTGGCAGTTACCTCATGCAGACTTGAAAGTGGACCATCTCTTCCATCTTAGAGAGAGAGCTCTATCAGTGTATTGATTGGACATGACTTAATATTCTCAGGATCCTGACTATTATTCAAGCATTACTAGTGTTTCTTAATTTCATAAGAACATAAGAAATGCTAGACAAAAAAGACCAAGGTCCATATAGTTTGCCTTCACCTTCCTGGTGGTCACATGCACATATGTCCCGAACTACCCATGTACTACATCCCATAATGTTATTTCGTTTTTTTAAAAAAACTAATCTGTTTGAAGGAATCAACACTTCCTGCTTCAACTGTCTCCCTGTTCCATGGATTTACTATTTGCTCTCTGAAATTCTCGAGCAAGAATACCAGAATATCTGGTAAGGCTGGTATAAAAGGCACATTGTTCCAGGATTCATTGAGACTTGCTTGAATTTTTAGTGGGCCTGTCTTTCCATAGAAGCCACTGATTCTCTACCATTTAGAGTAGAGTCCTGTAGCATATTGGTTAGAGCTCTTGCCTCACAAGTGAGGACATGAGTTAGATTCCTGGATAGGCAAGTTTCCTTACTCCACAGGCCCCTGTTTACCTAGTAGTAAGTAAGAACCCAGTTGTTAGTTGACTGATATTGCTTTCTGGGGTTAATAACCCCTTCAAAAAATTAAACAATAATTTGGTCACTCAATCCACAACAATTTGTGGAACACTGCTGTGCGCAATTGACTGCCACGTTTCACTCACCATATATAGTCCATTCACTTTATAGTATATTTTAAAGCATTTGGGATGTCTCAATGTGATAAGGTGTTGTATCAAATGTTGTGATTATTTGAGGCTTCTGTCGTCTCGCTCAGGGGTTCCCAAACTTTCTGGGGTCAAGGCCTCCCAGGATATTAGGTATCCTGAGGACCTCTTTATTTTACTTCCTAAGCCAGGATACCCTCACACCTTCCACTAAAGGATACCCTGAAATATCTTGCACTAGAACCAGGGGAACATATCTCTTGTTGCTGCTCAAGCTGTCATAGGTATGAATATTTTAGTGGTTGTGTTTCCAGTTATGAACATTGTTGCAAAGCAAATTCTTTCTTGATTATCCTGGTTCAAGTGTCTCCTACACTTTGGTTATGCATTAGCCCCTGAAGGCTCGCTCAGCCACTGATGATGATGAGGAGAGACCAGAGGATGTGCAGCAAACCCAAATAGTCTGCTAACCTGCATGAAGCATGCTACATAATCGCAATCTGTTGTTGAATTAGCTGAGCAGACAAGTGTGAGAGGAGAATATCGGGGAGATACTGAAGTGTTTGCACCATAATCCTTACGTTTGCTATAGTGCAAAGATGAATTATTCTTGGGTGCAAAAGCGAAGTGCTGAATATCTGGACAGTAAAGTAAGTTAAATTTATAAACCTGGCAAACTAAATAGTTCAATGTGACAAAGGTAACTTGCATTACAATGTACTCATTCTAAGATTATTTCTATAGACTACACCTGAGAACATTACAGATCACTAATAACAAAAGCTGTTTGTGCTCAACAGGTTTCTACAGGGCATTTTTTTAACAATAAAGTGGCGAGGAAAATTCTCACTAGTCCCTAGGGATTCCCCAGCAGTAATTTTCATCATAATAATTGATGTTACTTTAACACAAAGACCATCCCTTTTTTCTACAATTTTTTTATTAAAACGTTCAGTCTGACATTAGGACCGAGGAGGATTTTGAAGTCAGGTTCTTGCCAGTTGTGTTCCATTCTATAAAAGTCAATCCATGTGGTATTATTATTAATAACACTAATTCTGATCAGCACGTTCAGCTGGGGAGCTGCAACTTAAATATTATGAATAATAATTTGGTCACTCAATCCTTGACTGTTTGTGGGAGACAGATGTGTGCAATTGGCTGCTGTGCTTCACCCACAAAAAAAGTCTATTCACTTTACAGTAAATTCACTTTGCAGTCTTTCCTGTGAAGCACTTTGAGACGTCTCAAAGATGCGATATCAAATACAAGGATTATTAATGGAGATTATGTTGGCAGTTGCCGAGCAGTTGCAATTGAGGCAGTTTTTACAGAATTTTAGGCAAATTTCACTATTTGATAAATAATAATCATACAATGTCTTTAATTATCAGATTCCTGCTTTCATAATATTTTAATCATTCAAGGCTTAATAAACAAATGCACGAATCAATGCTTCATCTGTGGAAATCTGTTTTTAACGTTTCTGGATGTGGGATAAAAGTGCCCGTTTGAGTCAGTGCCCACTAGTGAAAATTCCTTCAAAATGACATTATTCGTAGGTTTAAATTAAAAAAAAATCACAAATTAGGCACGATTTCTTTTCAGACAGGAGGCAAAAAAAAACCTCACACGCCCAATTGGGCGTGAAATCCGCCCAACCTGCCAACAATGATGGGGAATTGCACCTTCAGACAGTCAGGGCGGGCGGGTGGGCGTGTGGGCGGGACTTCATCACATCCTGTCCGTGCCGTCATTTTACGCGTCACCGTGTCAATCGGTCCCGAGCTGACGCAGGCGTGGGCGTGGCCGGCTCGGCGTGGGCGTGGCCGGCTCGGCGTGGGCGTGGCCGGCTCGGCGTGGGCGTGGCCGGCTCGGCATGGGCGTGGCCGGCTCGGCGTGGGCGTGGCCGGCTCGGCGTGGGCGTGGCCGGCTCGGCGTGGGCGTACATAGACTGCCTCCAGTCACGTGGCTGACATTGGCCTCGGGGAGACCGCGCGGTGAGGACCGGGACTCCTGTCAGTGGCTCTCAGTCAGGTACCAGTCACTGGTCGGGAGGAGCGTAGCTCAGGGCCGCCTCGTCCTTTGACAGTTTGGGAACCAGTCGGAGCTTCGGTGAAAGAGAGTGAGGAGTGTGTGGGGGGGAGTGGGGGGGGTGTGTGTGTGGGGGGGAGTGTGTGGGGGGGGGGAGTTTGATCAGTAGCCGCTGTGTGTGTGGGGGGGGGAGTGTGGGGGGGGGGGAGTGGGGGGGGGGAGTGGGGGGGGGGGGAGTGTGTGTGGGGGGGAGTGTGTGGGGGGGAGTGTGTGGGGGGGGGAGTTTGATCAGTAGCCGCTGTGTGTGTGTGTGTGGGGGGGGGGGAGTGTGTGGGGGGGGGGGGGGAGTGTGTGGGGGGGGGGGAGTGTGTGTGGGGGGGGGGGGAGTGTGTGTGGGGGGGGGAGTGTGTGTGGGGGGGGGGGGGAGTGTGTGGGGGGGGGGGAGTGTGTGTGGGGGGGGGAGTGTGTGTGGGGGGGGGGGAGTGTGTGTGGGGGGGGGGGGGGGAGTGTGTGTGTGTGGGGGGGGAGTGTGTGTGTGGGGGGGGGGAGTTTGATCAGTAGCCGCTGTGTGTGGGGGGGGCGGGTGTGTGTGGGGGGGGGAGTTTGATCAGTAGCCGCTGTGTGTGTGTGTGGGGGGAGTGTGTGTGGGGGGGGGGAGTTTGATCAGTAGCCGCTGTGTGTGTGGGGGGGGAGTGTGTGTGGGGGGGAGTGTGTGGGGGGGGGAGTTTGATCAGTAGCCGCTGTGTGTGTGTGTGGGGGGGGGGAGTGTGTGGGGGGGGGGGGGAGTGTGTGTGGGGGGGGGGGAGTGTGTGTGGGGGGGAGTTTGATCAGTAGCCGCTGTGTGTGTGTGTGGGGGGGAGTGTGTGTGGGGGGGGGGGAGTTTGATCAGTAGCCGCTGTGTGTGGGGGTGGGGGGAGTGTGTGTGGGGGGGGGGGGAGTTTGATCAGTAGCCGCTGTGTGTGTGTGTGGGGGGAGTGTGTGTGGGGGGGGGGAGTTTGATCAGTAGCCGCTGTGTGTGGGGGTGGGGGGAGTGTGTGTGGGGGGGGGGAGTTTGATCAGTAGCCGCTGTGTGTGTGTGTGGGGGGGGGGAGTGTGTGTGTGGGGGGGGGGGGGGGAGTGTGTGTGTGGGGGGGGGGAGTTTGATCAGTAGCCGCTGTGTGTGGGGGGGGGGGGGGAGTGTGTGTGGGGGGGGAGTTTGATCAGTAGCCGCTGTGTGTGTGTGTGGGGGGGGGGGAGTGTGTGTGGGGGGGAGTTTGATCAGTAGCCGCTGTGTGTGGGGGGGGCGGGTGTGTGTGTGGGGGGGAGTTTGATCAGTAGCCGCTGTGTGTGGGGGGGGGGGGGGAGTGTGTGTGGGGGGGTAGTTTGATCAGTAGCCGCTGTGTGTGGGGGGGGGGGGGGAGTGTGTGTGGGGGGGTAGTTTGATCAGTAGCCGCTGTGTGTGTGTGTGTGGGGGGGGCGGGTGTGTGGGGGTGGGGGGGAGTTTGATCAGTAGCCGCTGTGTGTTTGGTCACCGCTAACGAGGAGTCCGTCCGTCACACACACCACGGACACAGCAGTCGGGCGGTTATTTGTTTTGGGGTGGGGGGTGATTGGGGGGTTGGGGCTCAGTTGGGTGTCAGACACCTCCCGAAACCCATCGTCACTGTGATCCATCATATCCAAACCAAACTGGGATTTCCATGCATTCCCACCGACACAGGGACATTCCCCGGTTGTGTATCGGACTGGACTGGAATGCCCGCACACTCTCCCTGGAGGGACACATCCCGCTTACCTAATTCCGGAAGAGCAGGTTGGCCAGAGCCGAGGCGTGGGGACCCCAGCGTGTGCGTTGGGGTAACTGCTGGAGTCCCACCAGCTAAAGCCATGTAGCTTACCATTGACATTACTGTCTGGCGAGCTTTCCCGCTGCTTGTCCAGCTGGGACCGCCTTGCCTCGGGGCTTTGGCTTTCAGGCTTAACAGGAGCTGAGTGAGATGACTCCCTCCACAAGTGACTGGTCTGCCCTTCTAAGTCCTGCCGACGAACCAGGCTGGGCTGTGCTGTCATCAGCTATGCCCTGGAATACCACGGATCCACCCAGCTCCGGAACTGGACTTCTGAGCCCGCCATGTAAAGTTGGCTTGGCTCGATTCTGCTCCAATGACTGAAAGCCTCCAGCACTCCCGAGCCCTTGCTTATTAAAGCAGTTACTTGTCGGAGGGTATTGCTTGTGGGAACAAGAGATTTTTTTATAAGAGATTGGGCTGCAATGTACTTTCTTTGCTCTTTAAAGCCCAGCAAGCATTTGTTTTTGCCCTCTAGGCGGGTGAACATATGGCTTCTCCAAGGGTGGGGGCAACCGACTTGTGGAATGCAAGAAATAGATTTTTTTTTTTCCCCTCCAAGCTGGGAACTCTTTGCTTGGAAATACAATTGAAGTTCATTTGTCTCTTTAAAAAACACAAGATCTGGACTTCCTTTCATTTTTAAATGAAATTGCACACGCACAAACAAATTAATGTATGAGGGATATCCTGAGACTCGTGATGACAAAATGCTGGCAATTCTTGGAGTTCCTTAGGAGACAGATGGTAGCTTCTCTTAAGCTCTCCCGGATGCTTCGCTGCGTGAAGTGCACTTTGTAGATGCAAGTTGTTGTTGTTTTTGGAGAGGATGTGCATTTCAAAATGCATTTTTAGGCTCTCCTTCAGCCCTGTACATTTAGATGTTTGGTCGCTAGTCACGATTCTCTTGGATCTTAAGAGACATCCTCCTGATATGAAAGCTGCAATATCAAATGCAAGGATTATTATTTTATTATCCTCATTGCTTGAGTTTCAGGGATTAGATAGAAAGGGTTGGAGTATTTCTAATGTCTGATCTGCATTTCTTTTGAATGCAATGTGCTGTTTTATGAAATTGTGCCTTTTTAACTGCTCACATATTTTCCCCCCAGCGATCCAGATTGATAACTATGGCTGTGGCTACAGAAGTTATGTATGAACCTACAATTGAATTTAAAGAGTAAGTAAACCTTTCGGCAATATGTTTAAACACATTGCTCGACTCTAGTATCAGTACTTCAAAGAGCGATGGATATTTGTCTAAGCACTTTATTCCTGTTTTGATGTGTGTATCAGCTGCAATATTAATATATACATTTTATTTACCTAGAGAGTTGTTATGGTCTGCAATGCACAGCCTGAAAGGTGGTGGAAGCAGGTTCGATAATAGCTTTCAAAAGGGAATTGGATAGATACTTAAAAAAGGAAAAATTTGCAGGGGTAAGAGGGAGGGTGTGGGAGTAGTCGGTAGCTCTTTCAAAGAGCCAGCACAGGCATGGTGGGGCAGAATGGCCTCCTTCTGTGCTGTATAATTCTATGAAAGTAATGCAAATAATTTTCGTGGGTTTGCAAATTTTTTGTTTAATGTTTTAGGAGCAAGGAGGACAAATCTTTGATAAGTGATTTCATAAAACTGCAACCAGGTGAGTTTTGCTACAAATGAACATTTTTACACAATCTACACGATAATGCTTCTTGCTATTGAAGTAACTTTACCTTTAAAATGTGATTACAGTTAAAAGATTATTAAAAGATCAGCTGCAGAGCTAAAAGGCAAACCAGTTGTTGTCCCGTAGCGTAGTGATTAGCCGGGGCGAAGCCTTAGACAAGTTTCTTTACATGGCTCTGTTTACTTAACAAGTAGGAACTTGGCTGTTAGTCGATTGGCGGATTGTTTTCTGGGGTAATAAACATTTGGTCACTCAATCGCCAGTTTATGGGACATTGCTGTGCGCAATTGGCTGCAATCAGTCCCCCTCCCCTTGGCTCGGTCCGGGGATTCGTTAAAGGGAAGCGTGTGAGACGCCGTCCGGCGTGGAGGGCGCTATATAAATCCAAGTTGTTGTTGGTGCATTTCACTGATTTGCAATGCATGCCTGAATTACTTTTCTGAAGAAACTTGTTCTCAACCCCAGCCACCCCTCTGCTCTTCCTATGCAGTTTTCTCGTTGACATGTGACACTGACAGTTATGTCTATGCTTTGAAATGTTATTAAAGGTTGACACAGAAGAAATAAAACAAACAAGACACACAATATTCTTCAGGCCATTCCCCTTTGTCTCTTCTCGCTCACAGCTCGCAGGCAATCAGTCTGACGGAGTTGCGATATCAGGGCAAAGAATAAAATCAATGGCAGTCACTGCCTTGAAGTGGAACCAAAGCAAATGGCCCAGTGACATCTATAAGTATTGCTGTTATATTTGCCTGGTCTATCAATCAGGAAGAGCCATAATCCACAGATTTGTTTATGAAACCTGTATTCAACAGTTTAACACATTAAAATGAAAAACAGCAAACTTTCTGTACAGATATTAACAAGGCCAGATTTTGCATCTTGCGATCCAAGGATTGTGACTTTGAAATTCTGGGATTCAGAAAGAGTAGCAGGATTTTAACCCCTAGTTGGACTGTTTTGAGTGTTCCTAATTGCATATTATTTGTTGCTACATGTTTATGTTGTATACCTGCAGTGCCTGGCATCATATTTTTCTGCATATTCCCCTTATCTCCCAAGAAACGTAAGCGCACCAAACAACATTTACCTAGAACATTTGTCTTTGTTTACCTAGCAGTAAATAGGAACCCAGCGTTTAGACGATTGGCAAATCGCTTTTCTGGGGGCATTAATCAAAAAAAAAAAAAAAATTGTCACTCAATCCATGACTGTTTGTGGGACACTGCTTTGCACAATTGGCTGCTGGAAACTTGCCAGTTTCCCCAGCTCCAACATTCACATGATCCATTCAAAACTCTGCTGCCGCATACTGACCCGCACTAAACTCCATACCTACATCTCACCAGTTCTGGCCAGGCTCCACTGAACAGATCAATGTCACGATCCTCACTCGTGTGTGAGGATCAATTCACTTTACAGTATATTCTGTGAAGTGCTTTGAAACGTCTCAAAGACGAGATAAGGTGCCATATCAAATGCTCGGATTGTTTTCATTATAACTAAATGTCAACAAGACTGAAGCCATACTCAGTGGCTCCTGTCAGTGTCTTCTGTCCTGCGGTTCTGACCTCCTCAACCTCCCTGACCTATCTGTACGTTACCCCAGACGCAGCCAAAACATTTATTCATGCATTTGTTACTTCCTGCCTCGACTATTCAAATGCCCACCTTGCTGATTTCCCCAGCTTCACCATCCTCAAAATCCAGCTGATCTAAAACTCCGCCACCCGCCTTGCCCCTTCCTTCCTCATCTTCAGACTGTGCCTGAAGACCTTGCCCCTTACCTGGCATCATGCTCAGTCCCTGTCAAGCACTCTGTCTTGCTACCCTGTGTGAGGTGCTCTATATAAAATGCAAGTTGTTGTTGAACAAGGGAGAAGCTTTCTTCATTTCTATCATTCTATCAGCTTGTCTGGCAGACATCAAGGCCTGGATGAGTGTACACTTCCTGCAGCTGAATATGGACAAGATGGAAGCCATACTCCTTGGCTCCTGTCAATGTCTTCACTCCTGCAGGTCTGAACTCCTCAACCTCCCTGGGTTCTCCTTCAGACTCACCGAACCAGTGCGCAACCTAGGCATCCGGTTCGACCCCCAACTGTCCTTCCTCCCCCACATCCAGTCCCTGACCAGAACTGCTTTCTTCTACCTCGGCCACATTCCCCACCTCCGACAGTACCTTACCCCAAATACAACCAAATTGATCCTCACACTCTTGTGTGAGGATCAATTCACTCCCTAGTACCTCCCTACCTCTCCAACCTCCTCACTGCCCATTGCTCCACCCGGCGCCTCCGCTTGACTGGCACCGGCCTCCTGCTCGTCCCTCGCACTCTCTGCCCCACCATTGGAGGTCATATGCTTTCAGTCACTAAGCCCCAAAACTTTGGTACTTTCTCCCTCAAACCCTTCGCCTTGCCTCTTCTCAACCCTCTTTCAACTCCAGCCTGAAAACTTTCCTGTTCGACCATACTTACAGCCACCTTCCCCTGACTTGGAGTCAGGCTCCGCCACTGTTAAGCGCTCTGAGACACTATCCTGCGAGGAGGATGCTACATAAGTGCAAATTGTTGTACTGGCTCACAAATGTCAGCTAAACTAATATTCACTTGGCTGTATGCCAAATTGCCTTTTGTGTTTGCCTACAAGTTATCACCTACAGCAGTTACCAGTGACATTCTTAGACATTTTGACGTTATTGGCATTGTAAGAAATGCAAACATTATTTGTAAATTTTGTTTTAATATAGGGAGACAATATCTGCAGCATATAGTTACCAATGTGGTAAAACACAGAGGAAAAGTGATACGTAATAATAAATCATCAATCCAATTGGAACTTACAATTGGACAGCTGGAAGACACTGTTTATTTTGGAAGAGATGACATGCTGGAAAGTTGGCAAGAGTTCTATCTGCCGGAGAGAATGGATATGATTGTATTGGGCACTATTGATAATTTGCCTTGTTTAGCACAAGCCCTTCAGCTTGTTGTTCTTGTTGGCCAGGATGGTTCAGTGTTTGCTTATGAAGAGGAAGTGCTGCACAAAATTGCCAAAAACGTGCAGGAGCTTTTTGAGAAAGGACCAACATTTCCAGGAATTGAAGTCTACGAATATGGCAGTGGATACAGACCAAAGGTCATTTATTTTATATACAGAAGTTTATATTTGTGTACTGAAATGTGTACTTTTTTAGGAAGGAGAAGACAATCTTTTAAGCAATGCTGATTCATGAAAGATTAGCAGTATTTTGGGGGAATTTTTTCCACTGAATTTCAATTTGTATCAAATTGAGTTGTGCAACTCCCCACTCCCAACCCCCCAAAGCGATGCTGTCTATGTGCGACACAAATTGAACCAACATTTTATAGTAATTTTTCACAATTCCTCCTGATAGTACTTTTCACATAGCATACATTTAGCATTGCTTCAATTTAAAGTAATTAGTAATCTGCTTTTCACTTGTAGGAACATGCCATTTGCTGTAAATATACATGGTAACAATGGAAATATAGCGACTTCTTGTAGATGCCACTATGTTTACAGTGTGATGGTTTTCCCTTCTCTGCCAGGCATGTGCAAGACTAGGGTGAATTTGTAAAGTCACAGGGAGTTCGGTTTTTATAGTACAGCAATGTACTTAGTTCAAGATGGCAAGTGAGATTTGCATGATTTATATGAATTAATTGTATTGATTCTGAAATAGAATGATCCAATTGAGTTAGTTTCTTTCAGTTCTATATTATACTTTATTCTGTTTAGTTTCATGTTATTTTATTCAGCAAAAAAATAGTAGAGCATAATAGTGTGGAAAATCTTAAGATTTCAAACTTAGCCGTCACATTATGTCTCTAGCGGAACTAATTCCTTTACTAAAATATAACAAAAGCTTTTTAAATTATTTCCAGACTAATGAAGAATACATGGCAGCACTGAAAAAAGCAGGCTTGGATGTCATTTCAGAAGAAACAAAGGCCTTTGTTAAAGGCAATGCAAATGAGATTATGAAACTGTTTACTTAGCTGGATTTTTTGTAATGTGGCATTTTAAATGCTTGTCTTTCTGCTTAGTAGTTTGCATGATTGTGAGAAATGAGAATATTTATTCTTATCATTGATTTTAAATTTAGATTCAGCACATTGTATTTAATACTGCGGTGTAAACTATCATTGTGTATAATATACATTTTTGGGAACAAGAGATTAGCTACAAACCTTGGAAAGAATTGCATTATCTTTGCAGAAGAAGCTTGCTCCTAAAAAATGAGTTTGGATATAAAAAAGAATGGATCAGGTTTATATTTTTGACACTGTGCTTGTAATCGGACTCATTCATGAAAAGATCAGAGTGTCAAAGGAATTGTCAGGCTTGACATGTGCCTTATAAACATCCTTGTATCCCTTGCTGTCATGTTTTACTGCAACTTGCATTTACATCGTGCCCTTCATGCAGGGTAGTGACAGTGGCGGAACATGATGCTGAGACGGGGGAGCGGAAGCTCACCAAACGCGGGGAGAGATCCAGGAGGACGAGGAGGGAGACTCCTCCAGTGGTAAAATGGTTTCCTGTGCTATTGAAGACTTCTGGGTAAATTGTTCTTGACGTAAAAATAATGCCTCATGGGAATGTATATGCCTTTGCTAGTAGGAAACAAACAGTTGTAGTTGTTTATATTTTAACCCTTTTTATTCTGTTAATTTGATTATTATGTTAGTATGTATTTTGTGTATAATGGATGTTAACTAACTTTAATATTGTTATACCTTTTTAAATGGAAGTTCTTTAACATTTGTACTTTGAGATGAAACAGACACTGTCTTTCCTCCAGCTTTGGACCTTGCTGTGCCTGGCATTGATGACCTCGGGGTCATGATTGAAGAAAGCTGAGCTCCCTTATCTCAAGTTCTTGTTTTTACTGATGCGGTCAAGGAGAGAGGAATGTTTTAATGAGGTGGTCTACATTAGTTGAAAAGTAAGGAAGATGGCGTATTGTGACGGGATTGGAAAGTTAATGATTGATTGGAAAGAAGAGGGGTGAGCAAAAAGATCGGAAAAATGCTCTATAAGTATTCGTTACTGAATAAAGTTGAACCAACCTCAGAAATAGATGGAAGAAGACAATAAAGACAACCGTTTTCTAGATCAGAAAATATACCATTCTGTAACTGCACTGGCTATATACAGATCTCCTTCATTAAATTGTTTGTTGAAGGCACACCTGTATCTATGAGCTTGATTATCTCGGGGTTCGAAATCTTAACTTCTAAATATGTAAACTTCAAGGAATTTAAAGATAATATAAGATTAAATGTACAATATTGTGCATTTAGTCTATGGAATTGGGCAATTTACAAATGTGTACTAATACAAGTACTAAGAATCAAAAAATTAACAAACCCAAATAATTGCAGATTGCATACACAAAAATTCCCTGTAGCATTACTCTTCAGTTCAAATCCATTTACTCCCTGGCGCCTCTCCAAACTCCTCACTCCCCAATCCACCACCCGGTGCCTCCGCTCGACTGGCACCGGCCTCCTGCTCGTTTCTTGCACCTCCGCCCCACATGGGAGGTTGTGCTTTTTTCCTTTTCAAGTACCTATCCCAATTCCTTTTGAAAGTTGTTATTGAATCTGTTTCCACCACTCAGGCAGCGCATTCCAGACCCTAACAAGTCTTGTGTGTGTGTGTGTTTAAAAAAAAATAATTCTCATCTCCCTTCTGGTTCTTTTGCCAATTAGCTTTAATCTCTGTGCCCTGATTACTGACCCACCTGCCAGTGGAAACACTTTCTCCCTATCGACTCCAATGTGATCCAACAGCGGCCCTGCAGATGGTTTTATACAACCAGGGATCATTTCCACCATTCCATTTTCCACTCCCTCCCTGGTGAATGTACCCAGGAGTTATAATAATAATATAATAATCCTTGCATTTGATATAGAGCTTTTCACGTCGGGAGGACGTCCCAAAGCGCTTCACAGAATAGACTGTAAAGTGAATTGACTGCATATTTTGTGGGTGTAATGCAGCAGACAATTGCACATAGGAGTGTCCCACATACAGTCGTGGTTTGAGTGACCAAATTATTATTTTTTGAAATGATATTTTTTTACAGGGATTATTACCCCCGGAAAAGTGATCAGCCAATCGACGAGCAACCGGGTTCCTACCTACAGCTGGATAAACAGGCATGTGGAGTAAAGAAACTTGCCTAACATTTTGTCCTGCCTGGGAATGGAACGCAGACAGGGCGAGACGGATTAGATTTGAGGAAAGAATTACCAGATTTAAGGAAACGATACCAATGGCCCAGCACAGCGTGATTTGGAAAACAGGAAGCAGACATTTTTGCTAAAGTCAATGCGTACTTGACATGAAGAGTTTATATGTAAGAACAATCTATACTAACAGAGGAAGAGCAGACTTGCCACAAGAGATGTCAGACCCTTCCAGACCAAGGTATCACGCTTCAGTCTTGTAAGCATAAATTGTAGCTGTATAATGTGCTGTTTTTGCTTGATTATTTTATAAGTAAAATAATTTAAATCAATATAACAGTGTTTGTTTTGATTTGCTTTGGGGTTTCTTTCGAGTGAGCATTATACAAAAGTAACAGCTTACAATGTGATATTGTGTTTCTATTTTAGTGAAGTCGCAAAAAGGTATCGTCTCTTGAAATCTGGACAGATTCGCTGCGATATGCTTGTGCAGAGTGCAAATCAGTTTATTAAAGTGGCACAACAAATCCTCGGAGCTGTTCGCAGTGAGATGCTTACAAACAACCAAAAAACACAATATGAGAAAGAGGTCTCTGTTTTTATTCACAATAACAAACTTTTCAAATTTTGTTCTATCCAGACTGATCAACATATACCATTCATAACTTGACAGAGTAGATCAATATAGCTTTTTACTCATCTGTTGCATGAACTTTAATCAAAAACAACCGAAAAGGAATGTTTTGCTTCTTTGAGCATTTAGTTATTAGACACAACTTTTAGCTTTAAAACTGGAGTCTTGGATTCTGTAGTGGATTCGTAAGCGCTCTGAAACACAGGTTTCAGAAGGTGTGAAGGGCTCTATATAAATGCAAGTTGATATTGTTGTTGGATAGAACTGCACCTTACTGATCAGAAGTTTGTTGATTCAAATCCTAATCTGTGCTGAGTTTGTTAGTTTCAGCCGGGGTTGCATGAGAAGGCTCAGTTGGTTAGGGAAGATACCCAGGTTCTGGCTCCCAGTACCTCTTCAGAATATTGGCAGCTTGGTGTTAAGAGTTCAGGCTCAGCCCTGATGCCCTCCACAACTGAGTGACCTGCTGACACAGACAAGGCTCACATGTGAACAATAGCCACTTGTGATATCAAAGGCCAAAATGCCCATGGAACCTCCTCCAGCAAGAGTAGGTGAGATCTCGAGCATTTATCTGTGGGGAGAAAATGTATATATTAATTATAAACAAAGTAAAATTGAAGTCGTTAAATCACTTGATGGCTCACCGAGTATCTAGTAACTTGGTGAACAGTGAAGCCTGGGAAGGTGATCTGATTTCACCAGGAATAGCAGTATGCGTGCTCCAATTGCCCACAGTCTGGTGGAGGAAATATCAGGTTTGACTATGATGCTCCACAACAACAACAACAAACTTTGTTAGCCGTTTGATTAATCTGCAGATGGTGAACTAACTGTATTAATGGAATCACAGCCCAGTAAAAGAAGGAAATGAGTGAGTATGTGAACAGGCAGAGATAGAAAAAATGTTTTATGTGTGACTCCCTTATCACAAAATTATTAGGAAAAGTTACAGGAAGTTTTCATGCTGCAACTTGTTATACAAACATTACATCCAGCCTCTGTAGAATTGAAACACTGCCATTCAAATCTCACTTAAGAAATTATAAAATCCTGTAGAATTGACTACTCATTGAAATGTTTATTTCTTAATGTTATAGATACTGCACACAATTCTCTTTTTTTGTCACATTAACATCCCCCGTCTTGAACCAGAAGACATTTTTGGAAAAGCAACCAAAACTTTGAATTCCAAATATGCCGATATCTTGACAGATTACAAAATGCATCTTCCAACTCGTCCACCCTACACAATTTTACTGGACATAGTAAGTATGTAATAATCTATGAAGTGATCTAGTGAAGAAAAATGATGATCGTGAGATCAGAGATGTAGATTAAACTATGATTTTTTTTCAGGTGGTGACATGCAAAGGAGCAAACAATGTTCCGATGTTTTAGAGTATTTATGGAGTGAAAATAAAAAAATGCAACTACCTGGTCCACCCAAGAAATGTGAAAATGTCTTTTGTTTTGTATCAAGGGTCATCAATTACTGTTACTTTGAACCTGAGAATCCAAATTATAAATCTGACAAGTACTTTGGTGCCTCAGTGTCTTGTACAGGAAATAATGCTAAGAAGATTATGATAGATATATTGTGTCTCAAAACATGGAACAGTTATATTTGTCAGGTAGTGGGTAACGCTCCAGAATGGAAGCTCAAATTTTGTCCCTTTGTATATTCTAACGCTTATATAATACAACCAGATTTTAAAAATTCAAAAGATTTCCAAGTTCCAAAATACAAACCTCCATGTAAAAAATGTTTGGAATTATATCCTGATTTAAATTGTCTACTTTATGAAACTAACAATCATGAAGCAAATTGGCCGTACGGCAACTGTGCTGAGAATGAGTCATTAAGCAAACTTCTGAATGACTGTGAAAACATTGTCATAGATGTTCCAGAGAACTTTGACCAGAACATTTTAACGACTAAGAGAGCAATAGAACAAAGACTGAGAGAAAATCTGAGAGATGTTGAGTTTCAATTGGGAAACACAATTTCATTTTACAACTCTCAGTAAAATGGGACTTTGAATAAATGTAGTCGAGTCCTGTCGCTTAGTGGTTAAGGGCCTGGGTTTGATTCTTGGATGGGGCAAAACCTTAGGCAAGTTTCCTTACTCCACATTTTTCTGTTTTCCTAGCAGTAAGTAGGAACTCGATTGGCGGATCGGTTTTCCAGGGGTAATAATTCCTTCAAAAAATAATAATAATAATTTGGTCACTCAATCTACCACTGTTTGTGGGACACTGTTGTGTGCAATTGGCTGCTGCATTTTGACCACAAAATATAGTCAATTTACTTTACAATATATTCTGTGAAGCACTTTGAAACGTATTATAAGTTGCAATTATTTTTGTTTTGATTTTTATTATGAAGTTTTTGCTTGAAAATAATCAGATTCCATGAGAGATTTTTCTTGTTGAAATAACTGCAAACTAACTAGAGTATGGCATTATGCAAATTTTAAACCACTAATAATGTTAAAGTTATTGCATCTTTAGTCAAATCTTTTTAATCTTGCCACAACTCCCTCCAAGTGCCTATGTTTTTATTTTAACATTGTAAGTCATTTATATATTGTCCCAACTGGATAAAATTGTAAATTTACTTCAATTATGTGTTAATATTGGCTAAATTTGTATTGCAATATTAAAATGTACATTTGTTTTACTCTAACTGTGGTCTGCACCAATAATTATTGAATATTTCTGTATGCGTTGAAGCAGTGAAATGGAATATTGAGTATGTTTCATCAACGTAGCAAACTGTCCTGTTTCTGACCAGGACACCTGGTTCTTGTTTTCAAGCTTTTGGGCTGGTGGGAACAAGTATTAATGGGGAAATAAAGATTGTAATTGCACATAACCTGGTTACAATTTGTGCTTCAAGTATTAAAAAATTTTGAAGGAATAAAATGTATTCCTTGACCAATTGTCCTGTCATTTTTTTAATGGATCAATGTGACCATTTGCATTCATAAAAGGCAAAATACTGGAGATCTGAAACAAAAACCAAAATTGCTAGGAGCACGCAGCAGGTAAGGCTATGGAGAGACGAAAATGAGTTAACGTTTCAGGTCTATCACCTTTCATCAGAATTAGGGGATGTTGGAAGGGAGCAGATTCTAAGGACAAGCAGGGAAGGGAAAGAAAAAGGAGACATTTAGGCGGAGGACAGAAGATGAAGACATCAGAGGTGTTGATGATGCAAGACAAAAGAAGGTAATGATAGGAGATTATTGAAAGAAAAAATGCGTCTAAGACCCAGAGGATATGTGAATAATTATAGAGGAGGGGGAGGCAAGGCTGAGAGAAGATATGAGTAAGGAAACTTGCACAAGGTTTCGCCCTGCTGGGAATCCAACACTGCTTGGGAGGCGAGTGCTCTAACCACTGAGCTACAGGACTCCACCAATGCACTGGATGCCTGAAAAAGTGACATTGGAATTAACCAAGATTCTGATCCTACCTCTATGGAAGGACTGTTAAGAATCTCAGTACCAGCTACCACACAACATTCAATGTACAAGTTGTTTACATTCAGTCTTGCTCTTTTGTAACAATCTAATTTTGGCCCTCTGGTAAGGATGAACTGGTGCCTTTACCTTTCAGCAATACTCGTTGTGACTTATGGTCTATGACTTGAGCTATAAATGTGAAGATTGTTTTTTCCTCCATCCTGTTGATGTAAATCATTTCATTTATATTTTCATAATTTTTCTTCCCCAATTTTATAACTGAATTTTACTTCATCTGCCAATTCTCATGCACAATCTCCATCTCATACCAAGTCTCTAATTTTATATTTCTCTAGTTGGTTAATTAGACTATTTTTCTACCATGGAAACAGTTATTTTTAAGTATCAGTCCCTGTTCCATTGATAATAATCCCTTTAAAAAGAAATAAAAAATAATAATAATTTGTTCACTCAATCCACAACTGTTTTTGAGACACTGCTGTGTGCAATTAGCTGCTGTATTTTGCCCATAAAATATACAATCAATTCACTTTACAGTATATTCTGTGAAGTGCTTTGAGACATCTCGAAGATGTGATAAGGTGTTATATCAAATGCAAAGATATGTCGTAGTTAACTATTAATAACATTTCATACTTATTCCTATAGATTTAAAGGCGGATTCCAATTTTCCACCCTTGACTCCAGGACCACTGCTGTACTGACAGAATGTCTGTCAGACATCAAGTCCTGAATGAGAGCTAACTTTCTTCAGTTGAACCTCAACAAGACTGAGGCTCTCCTGATTGGCTCCCGTCAGCGCCTCCATACCTCAGGCGCTGACAGCATCACCTTCCATGGTTGCACACTCCACCTTGCTAAGCCATTCAGGAACCTTGGGGTCTTGTTTGACCATCAACTATCCTTTCTACCCCACATCCATGCCATGACCCGCTCTGCCTTCCCCTATCTCCGCAACATCGCCCGGCTCCGCCACCGTCTCACACCACAGGACACCGAAACTCTTATACATGCATTCATAACATCGAGGCTTGACTATGCAAACTCCTTGTTTGTCAGCCTCTCCAACTCCTCCCTCCATAGGCTGCAGATCATCCAGAAGTCCACAGCCCATGTCCTCTCCCACATCAGGCTCCGTGACCCTATCTCTGCCCCACCCTCTGGAACTCCATCCCAAAGTCCCTCCACCTTGTTCCCTCCCTTGCCTCCTTCAAGACTCATCTAAAGACCCCCCTCTTCAACTATGCTTTCGATCATCCTGCTTCCCCCATGCCCTCCACTCTTCCCAATCCCGACCCCCAGCTCCGATCCGAAACATTGACTGTCCAGAGCCTTGGGACATCCTCCCGACATGAAAGGTTCTATACAAATGTAATTTTGTTGTTTTTGTTGTAACACATTTCAGAGAATGTGCCTTTCATATATTTTGATTGCTGATGTCCTGCAATATTAAGTTAATTTTAAACTATGTAAATTCAAATTGTTCTTGTATATCAGTACTCAATCCCATTGGATATGGTACATTGTTTTATTAGTTCAAACAGCTTTTAATCTTTTTAATATCAATTCCTTGTTTTTCTTCATATAACTTTAAACCCTTACTTTCAACTATTTAATATGTCAACCTTGGCTCAGCTAGTAGCACACTCACTTATGTGTCACAAGTTGGTGGGTCCAAGCCTCGCATTGGGACTTTGGGACGTCCTCCCGACGTGAAAAGCACTATATCAAATACAAGGATTATTATTATTAAATAGACTAATAAGCCAGTGCAGTGCATTGCTGAAAGTGCCATCCTTCATATTAAATGGTAAACCAAGTCCTGTCTGCCTTCAATGGATATTAAAGATCTTATGGTATTATTTTGAAAGAGAAGAGTTTCTCAGTTTCCTGGCCAATAATCTCCCACACAAAGAATTACTAAATAATATTGGTCATTCACATCACAGCTGTTTGTAGGGCATTGCTATGTGCAAATTGGCTGCTGCAATTGCCTATAAATACACAGTCTTTTCACTTCACAATATATTCTGTGAATCTCTTTGAGACATCTTCTGACATGGAAGGATACTATATCTAATGTGAGGATTACAATTATTATACATTTCAGGGGGGGAAATGTTTTTGGTAAACCAATTATGGTTTGGGGAGGAATTAATCTTTTTTTCTGATCACATGTTTTTTGGGTTAAAACACAGAAAGACTGGTGAATAAACCTGTGCATATGATATACCTTTACCGTGCATGATACAAATGTCAGCCTGGCTCAAAGATAGCACTCTTGCTTCTGAGTCAAAATGGTTGTGGGTTGAAGTTGCACATTAGGAGATTGAGCTCATAATGTATGTTAACACTCCAAAGCAGTGCAGGGGAAGAGCTGCATTGATAGAGGTCCCATCGCTTGAAGTCCGGGGACAATCTCCCATTCGGGATGTATGGCCACCCTAATTGGAGTGGCGGGGAAGGTGCTGGGGCGTGAATTGATCTGTAAGTCTGACAGAATAAAAAAAAACACCGTAAGGATTTGCTCGGCGAACGAAGATCAAGATCCATCCAATTCACCTTCCGCCATCCTGGCAGTGGAAATCTCATACCATGTTGTGGAGCCCTGTAGCTCAGTGGTTAGAGCACTCGCTTTGCAAGTGAGAGACCCGAGTTCAATTCCAGGCAGAGGGCGAAACCTTGGGCAAGTTTCCTTACTCCACACAGAGCCTAATAATAATCCCTCCCAAACCAAAAACAATAATAAATTGGTCATTTTCAATCTACGACTGTTTGTGGGACATTGCTGTGCGCAATTGGCTGCTGCGTTCGCTCACAAATATACAGTCAATTCACTTTGCAGTGTGTTCTGTGAAGCGCTTTGGGACGTCCTCCCGACGTGAAAAGCGCTATATCAAATGCAAGGATTATTATTATATATATGTATGGGTGTGGGGGGGGTTGGTGTGGGGGGGGGGAGGGGGGGGTTGGTGTGGGGGGGGGGGGGGGGGGGGGGGGTGGGGGGGGGGGGGGGGGGGGGGGGGGGGGGTTGGTGTGGGGGGGAGGGGGGTTGGTGTGGGGGGGGGGGGGGGGGGGGGGGGGGGGGGTGGGGGGGGGGGGGGGGGGGGGGGGGGGTTGGGTGGGGGGGGGGGGGGGGGGTGGTGGGGAGGGGGTGTGAGGGGGGGGGGGGGGTGGTGGGGGGGGGGGGGTTGGTGTGGGGGGGGGGGGGTTGGTGTGGGGGTGGGGGGGGGGTGGGGTGGGGGGGGGGGGGGGGGGGGGGGGGGTTTTTGGGGGGGGGGGGGGGGGGGGGGGGGGGGGGGGGGGGGGGTTGGGGGGGGGGGGGGGGGGGGGGGGGGGGGGGGGTGTGGGGGGGGGGGGGGGGGGGGGGGGGGGGGGGGGGGGGGGGGGGGGGGGGGGGGGGGGGGGGGGGGGTGGGGGGGGGGTTGGTGTGGGGGGGGGGGGGGTTGGTGTGGGGGGGGGGGGGGGTGGTGGGGGGGGGGGGGGGGGGGGGGGGGGGGGGGGGGGGGGGGGGGGGGGGGGGGGGGGGGTGGGGGGGGGGGGGGGGGGGGAGGGGAGGGGGGTGGGGGGGGGGGGGTGTGGGGGGGGGGGGGTGGGGGGGGGGGGTGGTGGGGGGGGGGGGTGGGGGGGGGGGGGGGGTGGGGGGGGGGGGGGGGTTGGTGGGGGGGGTGGGGGTGGTGGGGGGGGGGGGGGGGGGGGGGGTTGGGGGGGGGGGGGGGGGGGGGGGGGGGGGGGTGGTGGGGGGGGGGGGGGGTGGGGGGGGTGGTGGTGTGGGGTGGGGGTGGGGTGGTGGGGGGAGGGGGGTGGTGTCGAGCTGGTGTTTCACTCAGCAAATGCCACGTTTGCGCTCTGCACCTTTGCTGCGGGGCTTTGCTGCTCAGCTTCAGGTGAACACCTAATGGGTGGCAATGAGCTGCAGGTGTTGCTCACCGGGTCCCGGGGGTCAAAAGAGGGAGCGCGGCGGCTGCTCAGCACACGCTTTGCCCCCTCGCTGTCGGGTGGATGGACGGGTCACGCGCTGTGAGACAGAGACCGGACAGCGCCGCGGTGCCACCTTCCCGGTTTGGGTTAGTGGGGACTTATTTGGAGGGGGAAAGGACGGCCCTTGTGTGCGGGCGGTGGGGGAGTTGCTCGTCTCTCACTGTGCGCTTTCCCCGCAGGTGGGTCCTGTCGCTGCTGCTGGTGACTCCTGTTGTGTGGACACAGACTGCGCCTCCAGGTCAGGTCAGACCCTCGGCACAGCCCCTGTCATTGCCGCGTGTGGTGTGTGTGTGTGGTGTGTGTGTGCGTGTGGTGTGTGTTTGGGGGCCATTGGGTTTGTGGTGAAGAACCAATCCGTGAATTTTTCTCTCTCCTCCTCTTCCAGTTGAGTGGAGTCTTGTAACTAAGCCAAGTCACTTACGAGAAACATCTGGAAGTGGTTCACTTTTAACCGAGGGGGAGGGGGAGGGGAGGGGGTGGTGGGTGGGGAGGGGTGGTGGTGGGGAGTTTTTATTTAATTGAACCCTAATGAAATGTAATGTAACCTGATGCGGGTTCCAGTGACCACCCGCAGCACTGACCCTGTCTTGGTGTGTTGCAGGGTTTTTGAAAAGCAATTGCCACGATGGTCTTTTTTGGATTGGACTGAATAAAACCCATCTCAGTGGGAAGCTGTGGCAGATCAGTGTGCTGGGTAAGCCTGCAGTCTGAGTCCTCTCAGCTGCACCACTTTAAGATAAAAGACGTGCTGTGATTTTTTTTTATATACACCAAGTACTTGTCAGCTTTGCCACAGCTCTCTCTGGTTTTCGACAACGAAGGAGTGCATTTTCCTTCGTTCTACTCTTCAGGTTGAATCAGGTGTCTTACCTGAGAAAAATCACTCAGACGAAACCTCCCGAGCGCTTGAAACGTCAACTTGGGTCAATGTTTTTATTTTGACTTATTACAGTTGGTCCTAATCCAGGTTTTAATAACTACATGCAGGTATAATAATAATAATCATCCTTGCATTTGATATAGCGCTTTTCACGTCGGGAGGGCGTCGCAAATAAACTAAGCAAAATTGGAGGGTTGAGTTTAAAACTCAACAAAATACAATTGTGTTTTACTATAAATTCTGTGAAGTACTTTCACACATAATAATGTGAAAGGCATTCTATTAAACTAACATGAAGTGGCATAGGAACACTAGGTTTTCCACTCCACCCCAATGAAGTAAAATGATAGTGCTATAATATGCAAACATTTCTGAGGAGAATCTTAAGGTTTTTGGGTTTACTTTTACTTATTTTACCAAAGTGGTGATCTAACCTGTACCAGCAAAATGTTGGCTGTTAAATTGAGTTTCTTTATTCTCAGATGAATCTGGTGCAGATTTTCCTGTAACTCCAAACTTTGCGTCACAATGTGGTTACACCATCTCAATGGATCCATTGGATTATGTTGAATTTCGGGCCTCCATCCTTGCCTGTCAGATCCATATTATGGTGAGTATACTTTGTGGTAGAATATCCACATGTAGTCATCCATCTGTGCTCCAATTATGGCCTGTTTTATGTGTGTTTGGTGTGTGTGTGTGGGGGGGGTCCCAATGCTGGAAAATGAGCTTTCAGCCACTTTGCTCTTCTCTCTGGTATTCTACCAAAATCCCTTTGACTTCAAAACTATGTAGAATCGTTGTGCCTTTGAGTTCCCTCAACCCCACCACCTTTGGCTTCTATCCATCTTTAAAATAATTTTGAAATATGCCCCAATTAGAATTTGATTTCACTACTACCAAATGCATTGCCATATGTATTGGGGATCTTTGCATTAAAAACAAATCTTGGCAAATGAGTCTTTTTATAATGTTGCAGAACTGATTATTTCCTTCAGCTTCGTAATGCTTTAACATCTGTGTACAGATTAACTTTGATCCCATGACAATATTCAGCTCTTTCTGATCTGACCAATTGTTTTCCTTAACATAATATCATGAGGTTGTAATATATTAATAGCACAGTAAACTCCTGGCTTATGCAGAATTACTCCAGAATTTCAATTTAACTAGACCAGGCTCTACACCAATATATTTCCATGGGCCCATGTGCAGACTCCTGCTGGCCCAACTCCTAGTAAGTGCCAATGCTGCACTGAGCATCCCACAGTTTCCTGCCTCACCATCCTTTCTCTAGTATCCAGTGCCTGTGTGGGTGAGTAACTATATTTTGGTTTACGAAGGTAGTTATGCATGTGCAGTGCCAGTAAATACACTACCAGCATTGTCTAAGCATGCATATGCATTATTTTGCATGGCTGGCATTGTAATGCACTTAGCAAGATCTATTCTCTTTTCTTTGCCCATCTCCCCCCAATTTAGTTCATCTAGTTTGGGATTATTTGTATCTTTCTATATAATGGAGGCATGCTTCATATCACTTCATTTTGGTGGGTTGTCCAGATTCTATAACATTGCTGCCTGTTTTTTTATCTTGCAGGCTGAAACTTTCACCCTGAAAATACAAATAAAGTTATCTGCCAATGGAGGCATTGTTTCAACATATACAGAAACCTTTTCTTGTACATATACTGCATGGGCTGTGAGGCAAATAATTTGTGAAGAAAACTACATGCAGGTAAAGAAACGCAGCCTGAATTCCTTCCCCAATAAAATTTGGGATCTCCAGACTAACGGGACTGATTCCAGATGCCCATTGGTATCCTTGCATTTTTGATTTGCATAATGCAATATTGTGTTTCCATTGACTAGGTATCTGTACCACATGGGGTACCACCCATTGACCAAGATTATCACCAGGATGCTGAAGGCTGGATTTCCATATTTCCAGAAGTAAATTTATTCTATTTATCTTCACTCTCCCCCACCTCCCACATGGCTCCAGAATTAAAATGTTATTTCTTTAAGTCTTGCATTAGAGTGTATAAGGAAAGAAGAGCAACTAAACTGAAGCAACAGCACCTTTTTATATAATCCTTGAATTTGTCTTCTAAACTACTTGGTATTGAAAATAGCTGGAGGATAATCTCCTTCACCTCTGGTTCTTGTCAAATGCCTACTAGCAAATTTCCTGAGCTAACCATGTGAAAGATTTCATTCAACATTCTTACTTTTTTATTAATTTTAATGTTGACAAGACATTTCAAAGTGCTTCAGAGTGGGGGATGGAGAAAAAGGTGACCAAAATTACAGTTGGGGGAGTTCAGCTTTGGGAATGGTGTCAAAAACCAAGACCAGTTTTAACCCTTCTCCACTCCAGCAGAATTCATTTGAATTTGCTATTCTGCATAATTTGATCTTAATTGCACCAATATTTAACTTGCCCATCCCAGCTGCTTGGACAGTTTACATAATTCTGTACTTTCTGTTAATGTTTCCTTCAAAATCAAAACTTTTGATTTGTGCGTGCATGCATGTAAGCACACACACCTGGTTATGAACAGTTATTTGAGTCTAAGACTTATTCCTAATTACTAGGTAATTACTGCAGCAGACTCAACATGGCAAATTGTATTTCAACTCCCTGAAGAAAAAAGAAACATGACTGTGGGTGAAGCACATAAGATGGGTTATGGAATCAACACAACTCTACATCGCATCCTGTTGCGTGCCCCATATCATGCAAATGAGAGCCAAATGGTTTTGGTGAGCATACTACGTTGTTTCTAAACTGAGCTATGTATGGATGAGTTGATGTGATAACTTATTGTCCTTTACCTTTAGGTTCAAGGGATACCTTTATCTGTAATCCGATCAACTGCTTTCTACAAGAAGCCCTGGTTAGCTCTGCTTGTTGACACTACAGTGGCTTGTCCTCTTGGTAAGAACTTTAAAAATGTAGTCTTCAGCTGTACCTGAAGTGTAAACTGTAGCTATATTTAGGCATTGTCTCGAGGCTGCAAAGAAAATCTTGGAATTATTTGTGCCAATATTGTATGTTTTAAAGTCCATTGGATGAGAGGGCCATGTTTGTACCAATAATAATAATCCTTGCATTCAATATAGCGCTTTTCACGACTTCTTGACAACAAAATTACATCTGTATAACGCCTTTCATGTCAGGAGGAGGTCCCCGGCGCTGGAGAGAGTACAGCATTTCAGGCGAGAGTGGGGGAGATGGGGTCACGGAGTTTGGTGCGGGAGAGGACACGGGCTGCAGAGTTCTGGATTATCTGCAGCCTGTGGAGGGAGGAGTTGGGAAGGCCGACAAGCAGGGCGTTTGCATAGTCGAGCCTGGAGGTGATGAAGGCACGAATAAGAGTTTCAGCGGCCTGAGGGATGAGGTAGTGGCGGAGTCGGACGATGTTACGGAAGTGAGGGAAGGCAGAGCGGCTCATGGCTTGAATGTGGGGGAGAAAAGACAGTTAAGGGTTGAACAAGAAACCTAGGTTCCAGACTGGCTTGGTGAGTTCTAGTGTGCAACCATAGTGGTTGATGCTGCCAGAGCCTGAGGTGCTGAGGCGCTGATGTGAGCCAATCAGGAGGGCCTCAGTATTGTTCACATTCAACCGTCCCTCATCCAGGACTTGATGTCTGACAGATAGTCTGTCAGGACAGCAGTGGTCCTGGAGTTGAGGGTGGAGGCAGAAAGATAGAGTTGGGTGTCATGTCTGGATGATATCACCAAGATGGAGCATGTAGATATTAAAGAGGAGAGGGCCAAGGACAGAGCCCTGGGGGACGCCAGACACGACAGTACGGGGGCTTGAGGAGAAACCGTTCGAGGCAACAAAGTGGAGCCGGTGAGAAAGATAGGAATCAAGCCAGGCAAGGGCAGGTCTGAAGATTGAGTAAAGCAGAGAGGTGGTGTATGAGGATAAAGTGGTCGACAGTGTTGAAGGTGGTAGAGAGATCGAGGAGGACAAGGAGGCAGAGGAAGCCCAGATCACAGATGTTCAGACTGTCATTAGTGACTTTGACCAGGGCTGTTTCTGTGCTGTGGGCATTGCAGAAGCCGGACTGGAGGGGTTCAAAGAGGGAATGGCGAGAGAGAAAGGAGCGGAGCTGGGACGCGATGACTCATTTCAGGATCTTGGAGAGGAATGGGAGGTTAGAGATGGGGTAGTAGCTGGAGAGGAGGGATCGATCTAGGCATGTTTTTTTCCAGATAGGGGTGATAGTGGCTGTTTTTAGGGGGTAGGAACTGAACCCATGGACAAGGAGAGGTTGATGACATCGGACAGGAGAGTGGCCGGAAGGTGGAGCTGGGAGATGAGGAGAGAGGTGGGGATGGAATCGAGGGAGCAGGTAGTGAGTTTGCGGACAGTCGTGGTGAGGGAGGAGAGAGACAGTCGAAGGAGTATAGGGTAGGGGCTGGGTCATGAGGGAGAGGTGATGTGGGGGTGGCTGTGGACAGGGCTGAGGTGGCTGAACGTATCCCTCGATTTTAGATTCGAGGAAGTCCAGCATCTCCTTACAGTTGGAGTTTGAGGAGAGGATGGGCAAGGCATGGGAACGTGGGCAGAGGAGACGGTTAGTGGTGGAAAAGAGAAGCTTGGGGTTGTCATCTCAAAGTGCTTCACAGAATAGACTGTAAAGTGAATTGACTGTATATTTGTGGGCCAAATGCAGCAGCCAATTGCATACAGCAGTGTCCCACAAACAGTCGTGGATTGAAGCAACTAATTCATTGTTTTTTTTTTCTTGAGGGATTATTATCAGACGTGTGCAGTAAGGAAACTTGCCCAAGGTTTCACCCTGCCAGGAATCAAACCTAGGTCTCTCGCTTGCAAAGTGAGTGCTCTAACCAAGGGTGAGAAATGGAAGTGCAACCCCTATGGAAAATGGTTGGAGCAGTTAAATTCAAAAGATTGAGCCAGAGGATTTGACACCAGATAAACAAATTCACAACAGTAGTCTAGTTCTTTATCAGTACAGAAAATATGTATAATTCTCTAATCCAGACAATTGAGGTCCATTGGCTTCAGCATGCTATCTTTGAGCTGCTCTAAAAAGCAACAGTTACTCTAGGCTACACTTGTAGCCAATTGTTTACTACATTTGTAACCTTCCTTTAGTCCTAACTACAAGGTCACCTGATTATCGGACACTCTTACTTCTACACAACAACAACAACAAGATTACATTTGTATAGTGCATTTCATGTCGGGAGACCATCCCAAGGCGCTGGGCAGTGTAAAGCATTTCAAACCTGAGCTGGGGTCAATATGGGAGGGGAAGAGGGGTGGCTGATGGCATGGTCGAAGAGGAGGGTCTTAGGTGGAACTTTGAGGGGGTGAGGCGGAGTGATTGGGGAATGGAATTCTAGAGGTTGGGGGCAGAGTGGCTGAAGGGTCTCCCGCCAATGGTGAGGTGGGTGGGTCGGGGGACATGGAGCCGGCTGAGCGGGTTGGTAGGGGGTTAGGAGGTTGCAGAGGTAGGGTTGGGTGAGGGCTTTGTAGGTGAGGACCAGGATCTTGAACTGGAACCTCTGAAGGATAGGGAGCCAATGGAGTCGGGGGAGATGGGGTCATGGAGTTTGTGTGTGTTTATACCCAATTGCAAAAGAAATGATCAAGGATATTGGCAATTACAAGGCACAAACATTACTCATTTGAGAAAAAAAATCTGCCACTTGCAGCTGAAGTTAAAGCTCTGACGGCAAGGAGGAGGCCGGAGCAAGTCGAGCAGAGGCAGCAGGTAGTTGTGTAGGGAGAGCTTGTAGGATTGATGGGGGTGCCAGGGCATGAAGAGAATTAAATACAGGAGTGAGAATGTTGAAATCAATCTGCTCACAATGAGCCAGTGGAGTTTGACAAGGACTGGGGTAATGGAGGTACGGAGTTTAGTGTGACTAACTAATTTGTGGACTCTTCATCCAAAATGTCTTGGGGCTTGATTACTTTTTTTACTCCTTGCTTGCTTTGAAGGTAAAAAAAAAAATCTACCTACAATAAGCTTAGTCTATAGAACCTCACAGGACTAGCATGTTATAACTTAGATTATAAAGAAAGCTGCCTGGCATAGCACTTTGTGAACCTGAATTGTATAAAGTAACTGGTGGGCTTGAATTTGTTGCAGCTGTAAAACATCCCATTACCATCAATTGTTCCATCTCCCTCAGGTAATGATACAATCACTGAGGATACCATTGTGTGGACGGTTCCAAAAATCTTCACTCCACTTGTGCAAAGAGCAGTTATTGATGATCAAAAGATCTTCATGGGAGTGAATGGCAAAAAGCTGAATGAGAAAATCATTGACCAGACAAACTATGTCCTGGATATTAATGAGAACATTGTTGCAGTAACTATCCCAATTGGAGCAGAGGGTGGATATTATAAGGTTAGTGAACCTAATGAACTAGTCCAGTCTTTGTTAGTTGAATAGTTAACTGATAATTATTTAAAGTGGATAGAACAGTAAATCAGCACTAAGTCCATTCTACGTTCTCCAATCTGTTCTCCAGAAGGCTGACCTTCTATACTTTGGGTTCTTTGCTTAAAACTAGAACTTTAAAAGATTACAAATGATTGAAGACTTTCAGATGAGGACTTAAGCTAAACAAGATTTGCTGTGATTTAGAGCTATATTAACCTTTCTGTATGTTTTAATGTGTTTCAGAGTGATGTAGTGAATGGTCAGTATGGTATCCGGTACATCATTAATCTTCTCTTGGAATTCCAATGGAGAGATGTTGATGCATGGGAAGAGAACAAATTAATCATGATCCACCCAATCACTACTCCTATTCTTCGGCCACCCTTTCTCACTGATGGTATGCACCATGATTAAATTTTCTTTTTTATTCCTCCATAAAATAGTAATGTAGTTATCTTTTTAAATTCTACTCACAAAATATTGCACCAAAAAGCCCTTGCAAGTCCAGTTGAGGAACCTTCCTCGCCATGAATTAATGCATTTTCTATTCTAGATGGATTCTAAACTTATATTGGCAGTCCCTTGTTTTTTCTAATGGAGGGACTATAGAATACAGGATAATTTCAAAAGAATGAAGACTCCCTCTTACTTTACCAATAACACTACTGTATCAAGTGCAATAGAAAGCAAACTTTTTTTACACTAGGCATGTAAAAGCCAATTTAAAGAATCCAGAGGTTGAACAGTTATTGTAGCTTTTAAGAAATGTTTTGTAACTTGAGGCTATGACCTGAAACATTAAACCTAGTATCAAATTAGATTGCTAGAATTGTGCCATCAGGTTCTCAGACACAAATCGTAAATTCTAGCGAATTTGAGTAAGGATATTGATTAGAAATGGAGTGCACACTATTGTTCTAAATGGCTTGGTAACATATTTCCCTTATCACAATTGAAATACCTCTTAAACTTGTCATCCAAATTAATATCCTCTCTAATCCAGCCTGATTGCCTAATATTGATGTCGTGTTTTAGTATAGGACTTGCACCCAGAAGCATTGACATTTAATCTTTTAATCTTTTTATTAAAGATACAATTCCTAAACAACGGCTATTCAATGTTACACTGGGAAACTTTCTTCTTGATGTGGAACTGATAAAAGTGACTCTGGGACCAGTGTCCTTCACTGTGAAAGAAGTCAACCAAGAGGGATACTTGTTATATGAAACTACCAACCCAAATGGAACCAAAGCCTTTGTTCTTGAAGTCCCAATTGAGTCATCGCCTGTAGAGAGAAAAGTATGGCAATAAGTCTAACCTTCACTTAATGCAACACCAAAAATATCTGACTGACCACTTTCTTTTACTTCAGTATATAGGAGATGGTGTTCAACAATATATCCTTGATATTATCTACACACTATCTGTGGTACCAAGAAATCTAATTTTCACATATCCAGCTCACCTAATAGTCAATCAAAGTGATGTTGGTAAGTCTCTTCCTTGTGAAAACTAGATTACTTATTCAGGACTTGAAGTAATGCTATAATTTTCTGTTTCAGTGTTGCCAATAGCAAATGGGTTTTGTCATGAAGAGAGCATGACCTTGATTGTGAAACGTGGCAGCTTGGACCATTACTGGATCCCTTTCATTGGAAATGTACAATTAACTCAGCACAAAGCAGAACAAAGTGGTTATGTTTTACAAGATAATGGTACCCATTTCAGTGTGGATGTCCCATTTTATGGCCCTGAAGTTGTCTATGAGGTAGGATTGAATATAAATTGGTGGCTTAGTTTATAACATCCTCTTGTAAGCAGTCTAAATGTTTGGCTTCCATCACAGGTGATATACAACCAAGGAGTTAGAAGCAGACTTGACATTACATTGAAGGACAACAAAACTCTGACTGTGCTAAGTAGCTTTTCTGTTTCCTGCAGTTTTCCCACAACTGATCTAATAGGTAACTTGAATTTAACATTTCTTAACTTGGCACACTATAGCACATTTGTGTTGTACTAATTTGACTTGACCATGTTCTCTAGGTTGCTTTCCGAATGGTACAGTGATCATTACACTGCTAAAACTAGAACTTCCATTGGGAATGGAACTCACAAAAATGATGCTTCGGGATAAAGATTGCAAACCAAAGGAAAATGCTGCAGGGAAGACTGTGTACCAGTTCTATGTAAATTCATGTGGAACGAGCAGACGAGTGAGTTATATGGATTTATATTCAAATGTCTGGTTAACCAGTAATGGTGGTTAAATAATTTTTTTTGTTTCAGTTTGAAAAAGGTTACATGATCTATGAGAATGAAGTGGCATACTTCAAAGAATCCCAACCAGCAAGTGACCCAATGTATCGGTAAGGGAAAATGTGCACAATGTCTCTATTTGTTATAACGGAGCATCTTATTCCATCAGCAACCTCTCCTTATCCATTGGCACTGTTCCCATCTCCTAAAAACAGCATTCATCAATCCCATCCTCAAAAAAAAAAAAAAAAAAAACCTTCCCTGGACACATCCCTACTCTCCATCTATCACTTCAACTCCAACCTCCCTTTCCTATCCAAGGCCTTGCAACAAGTCGTCATGTCCCAGCTTCGCTGTTCCTCTCCTGCCATTCCCTCTTTAAACCCTTCTAATTGGGTTTCCATGGTACACACAGCACAGAAACAGTCCTGGTCAAGGTCACTAATGACATTCTGAACACCTGTGACCAAGGCTTTCTCTTTCTCCTTGACACTGTTGACCATTCTATCTACCTATACAGCCTCTCAACTCAGCCTTCGCGAACCTGCCTTTGCCTGGTTTGAATCCTATCTCTCCCACCATTTCCACTTTGTCATCTTCCCCCTTGGCAACATCGTCTACCGATATGGAGCCAATTCTTATCTCACCGCCTCCACCCTTGATTCTAGGACCACTGCTGTCCTCACAGCCTGCCTGTCGGACATCAAGTCCTGGGTGAGAGCTAACTTCCTGCAGTTGAATGTCAACAAGATCGAGGCCCTCCTGCTCGTCTCCTGTCAGCATCTCCATACCTTGGGCGCTGACATCTCCCTCCATGGATGCACTATATCCCATAAAGCCCATACAGAACCTCAGGTTCCTGTTTGACCCTTGACTGTTCCTTCATACCCCACCTCTGTGCCATGACCCGGTCTGCCTTTCCCCACCTCTGCAACATCCCCGGCTCCGCCACTGTCTCGCACTGCAGGCTGCCGAGACCCTCTTATGCCTTCATAACATCCAGTATCGAGTGCAACTCCCTGATTGTCGGCCTCCTCAACTCCTCCCTATATAGGCTGCAGATCATCCAGAACACTGCAGCCTGTGTCCCCCTCGGGACAACGCTCCACAACCCTGTCACCCCCAGCCTCACCCGACTACTGGCTTCTCATTACACAGAGGAAACTGTTCAAGATCCTGGTCCTCACTTTCAAATTCCTCCATGACCTTGCTCCTCCCCACCCCACCTCTGCGACCTCCTAACCCCTCACCAACCTGCCTGCTCCCTCTGCTCAGTGAGCTCCAGCCTGCTTCTTGTCCCCTGCCTCACCCGCCCCATCATGGATGGTCCTTCAGCTACTCTAGCCCTACTCTCTGGAACTCTATCCCACAGTCCTAACATGAAAGGCGCTTTACAAGTGTAATTTTGTGTTGTACAGGATTGCAATCTCTTGCCGCTACCACATAAATGGCACTCTGCACTTTCAGTTTGAACACAAAGCAAATCCTCAACCTATTGTTGAACCAGGATATGGACCTATTACACTGGCTATGGAGCTTGACAAAGGTCAGACTATATCTTTTGTTAATAAAGATTAAGGCTAGACTAGATTTTGTACCTTCCCCCACCTCACTTCAAGGTTGTAAAACTGGCCTTGTGGCTAATGCTATAAACTCTTACAGATGCCCTATACTCTGAAGTCTATGAAATTGTTGAGTATCCAGTAATGAAGTATCTGACTGAACCCCTCTACTTTGAAGTTCAACTCTTGCACAATGAAGATCCACAAGTTGAGCTGTTTTTACAAGATTGCTGGGCAACTTCATCCCGTGACCAAAGTGGCTTTCCCCAGTGGCCTATCATTGTCGATAGGTGAATGTTTGCTTCTGGTCATTTTGTTGTTGGGTGGGGTGGGAGGTCGGGGCGGAGAGAAAGAGGGAGAAGCTGTGGTATTAATTTGTGTTCTGTTTATAGTTGTGAGAACAAGGCTGATACACACATGACCATCTTCCATCAAGCAACTAATAGTACCAGGGTGAAGTATCTCTCTCACGTGAAACGGTTTGAGGTGAAAACATTTGTTTTTACTTCAGTTGACCAGCAACCTTTAGTGGGAGAGGTGTGTAGTTCATTATATTTGTATAATTTTTTTTTGTTTGGCCAAATTTAGTATTTACCTACACATCCTCTGTTCTAGGTTTACTTCCACTGCAGTGCAGTCATTTGTAATTCTAAGGAAACCAATGTGGATGAAGTGTGTCCTGGGAAATGTGTACCGCACAAACAGAGGATGGGTAGGAACTGACTAACTTATCTATTTGTAAGTTTTCCAGTCAACAATGGTGTGACTGACAACACTCTATAATGACAGGTCGCAGTGCTGGCACACACCACTACTTTGAAGGATCTGTATCATCTGGACCAATATTGATCCTAGGACAAGTTCCTGGAGTGGAAAAGCAAATTGAGAAAGGTTGGACCTGGGCAGCACTGCTGTAATTTACAACTAACATTTTAAATAACATAGTTACTAATGGAGAATTTCTTTACTTTCAGATGCTCAATTCCAATCTTACTGGCCTTTGTTACTGACTGGAGGATCAGTCCTACTATTTGCTTTTGTTATCCTTGGCGTAAATACTATTAAATGCTAAATGAGCAGTATATATAGTATTGCAAATAAACTTGGAATATATAATTCAAAATTGTGATTCAGTTTGTACATACATGAGGGTGTATTCCTGGGCTACTTAATAAATTCAATTTTTGTAGGCAAAGCAGTTGGTTCCAATAGTTGGTGCTGAATCTTCAGCTGCTAGCAATGCTGATAAAAGGACAGATTAAAATGAGTGTTTACACTGAAGTCCTGCAAAAGATAAAATCATTAATTTATTGGATTTGCCATTGTGCACATTGTTTAACAATTTCTCTGGATATCTGCCTGCTTCACAAATCAAAATGGAGCATCCCTGTAAACCATTCTATGCTCATCATTCAAGAGAACCATTGTGAGATTCATTCCTCTTGACACTAGTAAAATTAGATCTAAGAACAATTCATGATTGGATTTATCCAGTCTTGTTCTGTTCCTGCAAATCAATTTTTTATTGAACCATCCATTTCTAAATGGTGAATACAATTTTGCCAAATGGAACTCATTAAAAATTGAATTTTTATATCATAGCCTCACATTGCTTATCAAATTTGAGATGCTGGGTTATGCTTTTTGTCTTGACAATTTTATGAGTGCATACTCCAGTTCTCCTTTCAATACATGACATCCTCCCGATATGAAAGGCACTATGCAAAAGTAATTTTCTTTTTGTTGATGAGCTGTGTGATATTATAAATAATATTATGTAAGTTCCTGTCATACCATTGTTTAATGCTTTCAAATTTCCCTTATCTAAGTATTGCATTTCTACTGAAATTGGTGCTTGATTAAAGAAATATTCTAGTGCATGTAAAGTTACCAAGATCCGGGTTTGATTCCTGGGCAGGGTGAAAATATATTTACTTTATTTGGCTGCAAAATACAGTACTTTCCAGCCCAGCAGTGGAGGGTGGCACTTCCTCCCTCACATTGCCATTCCCATTGGACAGGAAGGAGATTAATGGGCACAGCCTGAGGTGGTTGACAGCCTGCAGACACTTGTAAATGTTTGGGTTCCAGCCATTCACAAGCTGCTCAGCTGTCAATCAGGATATTCCCACACTTGTTCTTCCCTGTTCCTCCACCTCCCCCCCCCCTCACTGATCGATAGCCCAACTCCAACCGCTTGTGAATGGCTGGAGTTTGCTGTCAATTGCAACTTGACTCCATCTCCATCCAGGAGCCCCTCCTGGCTGAGTAGAGGTGCTGGTTATACAGAAGGCCCGAGTGAGTACATTGAGCAGTGACCAGTATGGCATTTTGCCTGGAGTAACTGGATTTTTGTCCGAATCAACTTGGCATATTTAAAACTGGTAAGAATACAAAAAGAATCAGCCATGAATTTGGTTTAATTTACTCAATATCCAGGGTTAACCAGTGTCCAGCAAAAGTGGATTACACTTTTATTCTAGAATATAGAAGAATTAGGGGTGATCTTATAGAAATATAAGATTCTTATGGGACTTGACAGAGTAGATAGTATTTCCCCTGGTAGGAGAACCTATAACTAGGGTTACAGTCTTAAGATTAAGGGTTGGCCTTTTCAGAGTTGAGGAAACACTTCTTCACTCAAAGGGTAGTGAATTTATGGAATTCTCTACCCCAGAAGGCTGTGGATGCTCAGTGCTTGAACATATTCAAGACTGAGATTGGTAGATTTAAGGATAGAGAGAATAAGGGATATGGGGATAAGGCCGGCAGATGGAGTTAGGTTAGAAGATTAGCCATGACCTGATTGAATGGCGGGGCAGGCTCCAAGGGCCTACTCCTGTTCCTAATTCCTATGTTCCTATATTATAAACTAGTTTTGGGTTGTAGCTGTTAATAATTCCCTATTTAATTAGCCATTAACTTTTCTGCCATATTTGCTTAAGCAATCACTAACCTAGTATTCTTTCTAAGATTCAAATACTTAAATTGCATTTAAAATCAAGCTGACTTTTAGTGTGCATAATAGATGTTGAGCAGAGTAAATTATAAGGTGCATTGGTTTCACTAAAGTATCACCAAATGCCATTGCTTGACATTTAACTTGAAGCTAGAACTTTCAACTTTAAATGGTGCATATCTTCAAATTCTAGATTTGTATGTAATTTCTTGATCTTCAAGCTCTTCCTGATATCCCTGCATAACGTGGGTTTGCACCTGAAACAAACAATTGAAGGATTCAAAACTTAATTGGTCTAATTGCTTCTATTATACATTAATCGCAATGCTCATTGTATGTCTTCAGTACCAAGTCACTGATACAAATCTCTCCTATTTCAACTTTTGAACCACAAGTGTAGTTTTTGTAATTTGTTAATACACTCTTGGAAAAGGAAATGTAACCAAGGTCAATTATTGGAGCTGAAGTGGTTCATATTTTGATATGTGAAAGACCAATCTTGTAGCTTTTTTCTCTTCATACCCATAACAACTTTCAGAACCAACAAGAGGGAGAAATTCCTTGTTAACTATCATAAATTGAGTTGCTGAATTACTGCCCTCTAGCAATGTCTCCCTATTGACTCCTCAAAATCCCTCTTGATTTTTTTAAACCACAATCTTTGTCGCAGTAGAAACGTGTTACTTCTGCCAGTCTCTGCTTGTAGGTTAAACCACATTCCCAGAGTCATCCTAGAAATTCTTCCAAGTACTTGCTATAAAAACAAAGTATTTACAATGCTATACAAGCTAGATAAAGCCATTATTCTAGGGTGGAAAAATGGTTGACAGTTACTCACCCGACAAACATACCTGGCAATCAATTCTGTTGAATATGTGGCTTTTATGGTGTTTTGTGTGGAAGCACTTGGCACAGTAGTCAAAATTGTCACATTGAGTGCAAACAAATCTGGTACCCATTATTGGATCCCTTCCACAACCATCGCACCTACTTAGTGATGGGGGGGAAATCAATCTGTATTACATTTTTTGTATAATGAAACTTTTACAATTAGGTATGCTAGTATAAACACATTCTACTGCTATGCAAGTCCTAATGCATTTGTCTTGCTTCTTGCCATGTTTGATATTTGTACTTTTCACTATTTTGTTAGGAAAATATCTCAAATTGCTTCACCTGATTCCTGTAATCTCCAGTGACTTTGCAGGCAAATGCAGCAGCTAACTTGAATGCTGCAGTGTCCCTCCCACAAACAGCTCTGAAGTAAATGCCCAATTTTATTTGGCAGATTGCTGCTCAGGGCACCAAGAGAAACTCTTCTAAATATTATGACAGGATCTTTAGCATCCATTTGAATAGGCTGACAGGACCTTAGATTAATGTCATTAATTGATTAATCAATTGCTGACATGAGGTTTGAATCCACAAGTGATACTTTTTATCATGGTTTGATTAAGTCCAATTCTTCACAAAGGTATGCAGCATTGTAAACCCAAGTCAAAGATTCCACTCCTAACTTTCCTTCTGAGTGAGGGAGCACAGCCATGGGAAAAGCCAAGGCATCGCAGAGCAAGTGGTTGTGTGAGAGGGCAGATCAGAGGGCAGGAATGCAATGGTAATAGGAGATGCGATAGTTAGGGGAATTGATGGAAATTATTGTGGTTCAGGAATCTTATACAATAATAATCCTTGCATTTGATATAGAGCCTTATGTCATTGATGTCTCAAAGTGCTTCACAGAATATACTGTAAAATGAATTGACTGTATGTATTGTCGGCAAAACACAGCAGCCAATTGCACACAGCAGTGTCCCACAAACAGTTGTGGATTGAGTGACTGAAATAATACTTTTTGCAATGGATTATTGCCCCAAGAAAGGAATCCACTAACAATTGGGTTCTTACTTACTGCTAGGAAAACAGAGTAAGGAAACTTGCGGAAGGTTTTATCCAGCACAGGCATCAAACTGGGTCCTCTTGTTTGTGAGGCGAGTGCTCCTACTGATATGCTACAGGACTCTACAATGTTGGTATATGGGGTGGGGGACATCGTAGAGCGGGTGCTAAAGATTGTTAGAGGGAAGGGCGACTGCCGGCTGTCATGGCTGATGTTGGAGCCAGCAACATGAGAAGGCTTCAGGTTCTGCAGAGGATTTCCAGGAGTTAGGAATTAAATTAAAGAGCAGGAGGTTGAGGATTGTAACCTGAGCCATGCACCAGTCTTTATAGGCATAGGAAGATTAGATTAGAAAGCTAAATGTGTGGGTGGTGCAGGAGGGGGGCATGCTGATTCCTGGGACATTGGGTATTTTCTGGTGAAGAAATTGATTGGTTTATGATGGATGGGCTTCACTTACAGGGAGGAATATCCTAGCTGGGAGGTTAGCTTATGCTGTGGGGCAGAGTTTAAAATAGTATCGCAGGGGTGGGAGAGGGAGTAAAAGCAGTGGAATTTGTACATATTGGAAGAAAAAGTAAAAGGAGAAATCAAAGAACAGGAAAAGTAAATGGGGTGAATAAGCTACAGCAAGCCAAGCTAAAGTGTTTTTTGTTGATGCACATTGCTAGAAATAAAATGGCTGGACTGAACTGGAAGTGGAAAAGCTATATACAATTGTTGTAGATTAACAATACTCACAAAATAAAGACTTCTGTAATGTAGTTTATCCATCCAAAATCAATATTGTCTTGTGGAAATCTTGTTTTAAGAAAAATTACAAAGTTTTAAAAAGCAAATATTCAATTTTCAAATAAAACACTTTTAGTGTCATGTCTTCAAAATATACTAAGCTTTAAGGAACCATTATCCTCCTTGGGTCTGCATCTGGGGTGGGGTTATACAGGGTCTCCTTTGGAGCTGTGCTGGTTTATTTTGTAAGCATTATTAATCTACAATAATTTTATGGAGCACCTTCCAATGAAATATAGGACTCCTCCAGTTTCTGAACCAGGCAATCTGTAGTACTTTACAGCACTGTGGGTAACAGCCTGGCTCATTGAAAGGCCTTAAAGAAGCACAAAGAGCAGGGATTCTTCCAAATCAATTACTGTTAACCCTGAAAGCCAAAGTCCTAATGGGTAGTATGATCCCATCTGGACAAGCAGTGGAAAGCTTGCCAAATAGTCCTCTCCAAGGCAAGCTATGTGGTCTTAGCTGGATAAACTCTAGCAGTACCCCAACACTCAT